TGAACTTATTTATTTAATATGGTTTCCGAACTTTAACTCAATATATAATGTGGTCCGTGAACTTTTAATTTGTTCAATATGATCCTTGGACAATATTAAATATTTTCAATTTTTCATACGGTCTATAAACTAAATTGAACATATATCAAATAAATTAAAAATTTAGGGACACATTATACATTAGACTAAAGTTTAAAAATTATATTAAATAAATTTAAAATTTAAAAATCACATTGCATATTTAATTAAAGCTCAGTAACCGTTTATGACGTTTACTCTAATCGAAACACAACTTCAAGGCATTCGACGGCAGTGCCTCGTCGTCCTTGTCCGACTTGAGAAACGGTCTCACCGTCGTCTGGTCTGCTCTTACGAGATCCTCCTTTTCGCATCTCTTTCAATGATGGGTGTGGTGACGCAACGATTCACGATACACGAACGGGAAAATTTCATCGTCAATCCTAGACGACAAAAAAGTCAGTTTTCGTGTCCCACTTGCCCACCATTTAATTCGTCTTTCCTTTTGTCCTCCATCTTTGAACCGCTCGCCTTGTCTATTTTCGTTCTATCTTTGTTGATTAGTGTCCTCAGACACAAGTTGAATTTATTAAAGTCATTTATGCATGGTTTGGTATAGAGTGACTACAAAAGACCCACGAATCATCAATTAATGCGCTAGATTAAGAGCCCACGAAGATGAAGACCGTAAGCAAACCTTAGGCGATGAGATTTCTCGATGCGAACATTGCACTCGAGTTTCCACATCAGATACTTGTCGAAGTCCATAAACAAGTCGACTTCGATTAATGAGATTTAAAGCCGGAACCAAGTCTTAAAGAGCTGATTCAAGAACGAGGGGACTCTGAGACGTGTTGATCCTGTTTGATTGAAGATCTTTCGACCATTTGAGGACCTCAAATTGAGGTGGTCTGTTGCCCCAACCACCGGTACGAGCACCAAAAGCACCAAGCCACCATGCACCGGAGTGGACCACATGCAAATTCATTAGCATGCGGCTTAAGGGTAAGTAATACCCTCGTATTAACCATTCATTCTTTGTTAAATTGGATTATTTAAATTACAAAAATGGACGAATAGAAAATATTTTCACCGTTCACAAAAAATATTTAGACATAAATTTTTATCGATAACGGAACATTTTTCATTAGCTGATTATTTCGAGCGATACAAACGATCATTTTTTTAGAAAAACATTTTTTAAATCGCTTATTTTTTGCGAAACAAACGAAGCGCAATAATGCAAACGCATCTCTCGTGTGCTCATGTGAGTCACAACCTCTTAGACATTGCTTTAAGTATATTATCTAGGACAACAGTATCCCAAGTGAATTACGCAACAACTTCACCAAACAAACTAACGCGAGGCAAGTGGACATCAATACGTCCGTCTATGTCCGGACACTTCTGAACCGCGAGGCTAGGCTAACTGCTTGGCAGAACCAGTTCGTTTGGCGGAAAATATTCTCGCTTTTGAAAATATTTTACCGGAAAGTCATTTTCACCGGAAAATGTTTTCGAACATAATTTTTCGGTGTTCGCGATCAATATAAAAAGTTTTGGAAAAATTTTTCGCCGCGCGACTGCGGCGTGGCGGCGCGCAGCGTCCGACGGCCCGGTGACCAGGCGGCAATGGCGGCGGCCGATCGGCGGCCAACGTTCGGCGTCTGGCGGCGGCGCGGCGATCGGCGGCCAACGTTCGGCGTCGGCGTCGCGGCGGCAGCGATCGGCAACGGCCTACTTCCGACATCCGGCGTCCCGCTGGCCGGCAGGGGTGACCGATGGCGGCAGCGGCCAGCAGCGGTGGCAGCAGCAATGGCCAATGGCCGGCAGCGACTTAGTGAAGAAAGAAGAAAGCTCAGGAAAATGATTTCCACTTTTGAAGAAAGCGGAAGTTTTAGACTTAGGCTATTTTGTGAAGGGGGAAGGAAAATATTTTCCGCGGAAAACGTTTTCCGCCCCCAGCTCTGGAAAGCCCGAGCGGAAAATATTTTCCGGAGAATATTCCCAGCCAAACAGAACGGAGCTTAGTTCTAAATGTTAGCCAATTGAGTCGGAGATTACGTGGGGTACAACCAATATTGGATGGTCCAAGTGATTTTGCATATTTTTGTTCTAGACAAGGTCTTAATTAAGGGATAATTACCGGATCGGTCCTCAACTTATTGTATGAATCTTAATTCCGTCACATAGTCATAAACCTTTGCGAAAAGTTCCAATACATATCTTCTAGCCAATTACAGCTAGAAATTGTTGATGTGGCATCCAATTATCATTGAAAGGACAACTTATGGATCGCTAAGTCAGCGATTCCCGACAACATATGGCCAGAAAAACTACATTGAAATTTCAATTGGGGATTTAGAACCGAATTGATATTCGTACAATAGATTTATGATTGATTTTATAATATTTTACTTAATTAATGTGAACTTTTGTATGGTTTCTTGACTACTAATCCTATTTTTCAGGGTTTGGACTTACAACGTAACTAATAAATTCACTCGCGATTATTAAATATATCACCTAGGAAATATATACACGTGTCTCATCTTCAGGTGTCTGAGCAAAAAATAAAAAAGGTCTCGTCTTTATGTAAATAACATATTGGGACTATTCTTTATGGTTTTACAACACCATAACCATTTAGGAATGTGTATTGACTCATGAATCGGACCACAACAGATGTAATTTTTGGGATGTTACCCTGGGTAACTTACCCACTTCTCGTGAATAAGGATAAGATTTCCCATCCAACTGAAATTTGTAAACTTAAGTTGTATTTGTTCGAGTGAAAAAAATTTCCGCGAATTAATTTGCCGAACTTTCACTCGTCTAGATTATTGAAAATGATCAGTCAACGAAAAATCATTTACGGTTAAGGAAAATAGGCACGTTTGAGTTAATAAAATAAATTACATAACTTGAAAAGGAAAAATATATATTTTTGAATTTTTTTTTAAAAACGTTCTTCGTTTATCACGAAGCTTTATTCGCAGCAAACACCCTCTTGGTGTGAATTACCTGTCTTCAACTTGTCTAGTGAGCCGGGGTCCTGGTATGCACAAACTAAGCCCGGATGAATCCAATTTTAAGCCATAGTCTACCTGAAAATTCGTAAAGTTATGGATAAAAGGCGAGATGCGAAATAAAATAGAATGAAATATTTATCAAGCAATCGTGCATGCTCGATAGGAGTGTGCAAAACGGGCCGCTTGGACACTGGGAACCGCTCGGACCAGAACAGCCGATTTGGTCCAGTTCCTGAGAGTGTCAGTCCGATTTTCAATTCCTAAAAGTGGAACCGGTGTCTGAACGGTCCGGTTCCCAGTTTCAAGGAGAACCGGACCGACTACATATATTTTTTTTGATTAAGTATAATTGGTATGGGAAATATAATTCCAAATTTAGAATATATGTGTAGTCGGTATGGGGAACATAATTTTAGTTTCAAAACATATGGTATTAAGTAGTGGGGAAAAAAAAGTGATCGGTCCCGATTCCCAATTTTGAGAATCGATTCTCTCGGTCCAGAAATCAATCACCTCTAATATTCGACTCACATTAGAATCACTAATCGCCAAGACGTTTCGCTCATACAAAAACCCATGCAAGAAACTGGAGATGGAGGTCAATTTCGAACTGCCCTCTCTACACTTTCAAGAGCCAAACATCGGATTTTACGCCATTCTTGGAATCAACGGCCACAAACGGACTACGCAAACGCCTGTAAGGCACCCGGATCACAGACCACATGTCCCGGGAACGTCGACACCCCATACGTATCCAACTGCTTTATGTCTCAACGGGATAACATAATCTAGACTCGATCGATATTTGATTAATTTTTCTGGAAGCCGTCCCTGTATGATTGGCGTGGTTGATGATATCGGACGAGCAAGTTGTACAATTTATCCCAAGTCTATTGTACGAATGCCAATTTTATCCTAAACTTTTCAATTTTATCAATATAGTATAGGCGAAATTTCGATGTAGTCTTTCCACCCATATGCCGCCGAAAATCGCTGATATGACGGTCCAATTATTGCCAACTGTCTAAAGTAGTCCTTCCGACCACTTGCCGCTAGAAATCGCTTATACGGCAGTGTGCCACGTGAGACGGTTGACTTGATCGCATTTTCAGTGATTTTCTATGAAATTTGACAGGAAAGATTACGTCGTAATTTTGCTTAAATGATTATGATTAAATTAGTAAAATTGAAAGTTTAAGACTAAATTAACATTCGCACAATATGTTTAAGATTTTAGTATGGTCGAGAATATGTTAAAAATTGATTGAGGAATTTTTCCTCCAATGAATAGTTAGTTTAATTTTTTTGGAATGAAAATAGTTAGTTTATCACGAATTGTTCAAAATATTACAAAAATTCCATACGGATACTGCTAGACATGGAAGACTCCCTGCAAAGAGATTGTCTCAACTATAGATGAATATTCGAATGTTATTACTTGTTCAAGTCTTTTTAAAAGAAACGGGTCGCGCTAACGAGTATCTCCAAAATGCTTATTTAGTATATATTATTTGAAATAATTTGATTTTCAAGATGTAAATTGTGCGTGCCACGAGAGCAGTAATTTATCATGCTTTTTAATGAACTAATTTTGTAAATCAATTATTTTACAAGGTCAAGGCATACCACACACTAGAATGTCTTATAATGAATTTACATATCGCCTACCAAACTAATTTTATAAATTAATTTTGATTCAGCTAAGCTCAAGTTGTCTCATAGTGAATCTATAGATCGCTTACCAAACTAATTTTGTTAATTAATTTTGATTAAGCTAAACTCAAGTCGGCTTATAGTGAATCGCATCGCTTATTGCAGTCTTTTCGTGTTAAATTTTGTCCTATTTCGTTACTGACAGCCACACCGACATCGAGCAAGGAAATTATTGTCCAATTATTATATAATATATTTTATATTTATAATGTATCTCCTTTAAATCTCTCAAGTCCGCCACTTCTCCGCCACAATCAGATTTTCCAGATTTTACACATTTTGTTTTCGTCATCTCACCTTTCTGCTGGTCCTCTCTGGTTTGCTCTCCATGGCGGCAAGCGCAGCTTGTCTCTTCCCGTCCGTCTTCTCATCGGCTCTCCGTCGCCGGAGCGAAGCTTCAGCCGCCGCAGGCTCCGATCAGAACCCGAGGCTCAGTTCATCGTCCACTCGCAGATTCGCCGTTTCGACGGAGCAAGTGTCCTCCTCCGCAGCGACCGCAGCTCCCTTTCCTCCGTCGAGACCGGTCAGTTTCCTAGAGAACGGGCGGAGCGACGAGAAATGCGGAGAAAAAGCGAGCGGCGACCAGAGCTCTTCGACGCCGTTCATGGAGGACGTGGAGCTGGAGAGCGGACGCGAGAGGTTGAGGAGGTTCTTCGATGAGGCGAAGGATCTGACCAGAGCGGACGGCGGACCGCCTCGCTGGTTCTCTCCTCTGGAGTGCGGCTCTCGCTTGGAGAAGTCGCCCCTGCTTCTTTATCTACCTGGTGAGTTCCCTCGAGGTCAACGTTGACGTCGTAACTACTTAACGTTCTTGCTCGCGGTTGTGAGATTTGTTACCGTTTGATTTCGTTGCCTTTGGTGGTTCATCGTTGAAGTGATCTGACAGGAGTTTTGAGAATTAAACAGGAATTACACAATGACGCTTCCGTGATTTCGACCATGATTATCTCTAGATATTCGTTGTCGGGGGCGTTGCCTTTTCAGTTAATGTTGCTTTCTTTACTACGAGTGACAATTAAGAATCTAACAATGTCCGTTTCTTCTGTTACGGAGTTGTTGATGTGCAGCTTGATGTTGGAGCCTTTTCCGCTTTTACGTACAGACGTCACTTTAATCTAATCATATGCTGTTTGGTTTTCTGTGAAATTTATTCGATGTTGATGGGGGTTTCGGTGCTCTCTGTTTCCCTATGCGTTTGTTTCTCAGGAATCGATGGCACTGGAGCTGGCCTTACTTTGCAGTACAAACAGCTCGGAAAGTAAGCACGCCTACTCTTACTCGATTATTCAATCTTCCAGTTCAGCACTGAAATTTCTGCATCTAATTCTGCTTATGGCTGAAATGCATCAATCATCTCTACACTATACTTTTGAGCACTCTGGTTTTGAGCGCCCACCTGAACTTAACAAGGAAACGAAAGAGGGGGAATAGCAATAGCAGTGTCTGGCAACATAAGGCGGCTAGCTTGTTTATAAACATACGACCTCAATCCCCTCCCAGCTAGATCAGTTATCATGTCGCACAGTTTGAAAACTTCGAATATAAGTACGTCAAATTGAAGCAGAGTGCATTCTGTTAAGATGGATTTGCGCGGTACATATTAGAGATATGATATAGCTGCTTCACGAATCAGTTTTCTTTTCTCATTCGTAGCAAATCTGATGAAATTCGTTCACTCCCTCTGTTCACCGTAGAACATGTGGTGATTGCTGCACTCTGCATTTGGTTAAAGTCTCTTTCCTCTCTCTCCTGAGCTTGGATGAAGTGAGACGAGTCACAGAGCCTGTGTTACCTTACTGTCCTCTGCGGGCTACTCAGGCTATTAATGACTATACAATCTGTTTCATGCGATAGATGATGCACTTCACTATTAATGCAGCAGTAAATGACTTAACTAGATGAATGTTTTCATGTATGAAGGATGTTCGACATTTGGTGCTTGCACATCCCAGTCATGGATAGAACGTCATTTCTAGGTCGTCCTCTTTCTTACTCTCTCCAACTGTTTCACCAATTCTGAATATATTGTAACAATCTGAGGACAATATCATTTGTAATCAACATTTTAATTGTGATTCTTTCTAGCTCCATTACGTAGTAAAAGCATACCGTGTTATATATTCTGGAGTTGTAATACGGTAAAGCCAGGTGACAACAGATGCTTTGAGTTCTCTCATCTTAATACCATACGAGTTGATAACTCCTAATCAATTTGCATGGCTCAGACCTGGTGAAACTGGTCGAGAGAACAATTAAGGCGGAGGCCTACCGCTCCCCAGATAGACCTATATATCTTGTTGGAGAATCGTTGGGAGGATGCCTTGCATTAGCCGTCGCAGCACGCAACCCTGACATTGATCTTCTCTTAATCTTGGCCAACCCAGGTGAGAAACACTTTCTAGTGAAGTTAAATAAATGCAGCAGGATGAGGAAATCAAATTATTATATTAACTCGGAAATGATCGGTATTCTAACTCATAATCTCTGGAAAAACAACGGAGACAAGAATCTTATGTATATGCAGCAATTTCTTGTGGTAAATGAAATGCTCTATGTGAGTTATGCAGCAGCCAAATTGAATTATGTCGGATTAAGGCTTATGTTCATTTAGAACCTCTGTCGGTTGTGGCAGCTTTGCCTATTAATTACTGAACACCACGCATGTTTTTTTGCAGCCACCTCTTTTGACAAGTCACAGATACAACCTCTATTACCTTTGCTGGAGTTAATGCCGCAACAGTTGCAGCTAAGCTATCCTTTCATCCTGAGTTTGATGGCAGGTTTGTGTTGCTCCTCATTATTGTATTTTGCTACACTTTTCCATGTAAAGCAGAAAATGTTTCGGGCTTATTTTCTCACTTCTTATTAGTATACCAGGCTACTGACTTGTGGATGCTGATAATATAGAAATCTACAGTTGAGGTCTAGAGAACGTAAGCAGAGAGAAAAATCTTACTGAAGAAACTTTTGAGACATGTGGCCTCCTTAAGCCAAGAAGCAAGGGGCAAATTTGGATGAGCATCTGCAGTACATCATCATGTTCGATATAGCGACTGCTTACTAATCTTAGATGAGCACTGTATTAATTGTTAATTGAAAGCCTCTGGACATGTTTGCGTTCCGACTAATTGAAAGCAAGTGTTATTGGAGAATTCGACTTCAAAAACTACTGAATTACTGAGGATAGCCTGGGCATGGTTGCCCGTTAATGCCATGGGTACCGCACTTGCGTATTTAGCGAACCTTTCTATCCAGCTTCTCTCTCTCCTAACTGTTTTTCTTTTACAACCTACATTAATTTGTGGTGCTACAATTACAGGCGACCCCCATAACATCTGTTTCATAGTTTTAGATGATGGTTGCCCATTTTTAGGAATACCTTATTGCTTGCCGATGTGAAAAGGGGCATGGGCTGCTGTGTAAATTAGTTGGGGTGATGCTATTACTGAAGTGCTTCTAAAGTGTGGCTATAGTTTGGGCACATTCAGTAGTTGGTACCATATATATCCGGCTGCAGCCATGCTGTAATCTTCTCCACTTATTCCAGTTCATTTCTGATATATATAAGGTGATCCTTCGAGGACGTTCAAGGCTAGCACAGCAAAAGGGCTTCCTCCTCAGCAAACAGTTGGAGAGCTATCAAAGGACTTTTTGGCCATCCCATCTTACAAATCTGTAAGCTAAACTGTGGCCACCATCTTCGCGAGACTAGCAAGCTTTTCTGCAATTATTTTCCTCGAATTCACGTAATGAATAGAACTCTTCCCAATTCCATTTTCTTCAGACATGAACAACAGGCTAGACATGCACTATGTATCTCCACTGTAAGTTTTTGCTGGGAAAAAGATTTATGGAAACATTTTCAGGTTCTTGCTGATATTCTTCCAAAAGGAACACTTCTGTGGAAGCTTCAGATGTTTAAATCGGCTTGGGCATATACAAATTCACGCATTCATGCTGTCAAGGCACAGACTCTACTTCTTATAAGGTAATATTAGATGCTGGGAGATTGGAGTTTACGATGATTATGTAGATTTTGGCAGGGCATATATCCCCGGCTAGTTTTATTGCTATCTCACTCATCTACAAGGAGGAAAAGATACTGACACATTGATATATTATAGCAAAGACAAATGAGGATAACTTGTTATCCTTTTGTTTACTGTCATTGAATTTCTTTTTAGCTACTAAGTTACTAATACATTAAGTTTCCTAACTCCTTTAGTGAAGCAAACTAAATGGATTCGCTCACATGTTTGTGAGACTAATATGAAAAATTTCTAGCATGTAAGTATAATCAAGTTAATCAAGTAAGATCTGCATCACTTAAATATATTTGCATTGAAGAGGAATTTACTTGGGCCAGGAAAGCCAAAAAATAAGTGGGTAATTAGAGTTTTTAAGGTATATGGACGAGCCCTTCCACATGTGAAAGACATAACTCATTTTCTTGAATTCAGATATTAGATAGTAAAAACAGGCAATGCAATGCAATGCAACTACTATCGCAATGGATATTGTCCCAATATCTTTGACAGAGTTGAAGGCTACAGCCTCATTTGGAAGTTCGAACTTCAATGAGATTTCTTTAACTAAAGGTTAAATTATTGTCTTAATTCAACTGCATAGAGTCATTTAGTAAAAAATATATTACTGGCTAGTGGCGATGCCATCGCTACGACGGATTTGTCCACTGTTAAGTGGAAAGGTCATTGTAATCCTTCATTTTCTTTGCTTGAATCAACCTGATTTTGTGAACAGCATGATGGTCACCATCTCCTTTTTGGGTGATCTATCTGCTTATGAGGTGCTTGGTCTTTCCCTTTGTCCCCTTTCTTCAACTTTTATTATATACAAACTTCTTATTTAAAGTTGTGGTCGTCATGTATTTCTGTGAGGCAAATGTAGACTAACTTTTTTATTGGGATTTGTAATTTTAGTGGGAAGGATAAGCTATTGCCAAGTCAAGCAGAAGGTGCCAGACTAGACGATGCACTGCAGAGAAGTGATCTCCGCAAGTTTGATGATTCTGGTCATTTCCTTTTCTTGGTAGGTTTCTCTCTTTCCAGAAGCTAGAATTACGCATGAACTACTATCTCATATGTGTCCTGCAATTTTAATAGAATGGAGAAGAAAAATCACCCTTGGAAAGAATTGAACAAATTTTAGTGTCCCACAATCCTTTCTAGCTTGGTCTGCCATATCAAGTGAAAATGTCAAGGATATGAACAATTTAGAAACTTACGGCTAGTCTTGAGTGTTATTCTTCCTAACTATTCGACTTCTGAACTTCCATTATGTCCCATTCGAGTATTGTGTTTTCCCTTGGTGAAATTTTGCAAAGCCATTAATATTAAAATTACTCCTTTGATTGATACTTCAAATAGGTATTCTGCACTATTGTTTGGAGATAGTCTTTGTTACTGATCACTAAACTCTAGGTGAAAAAATATTATCACTTTTTTTACAATTATAACCATGGATATAAACTCTATTACATGAGTATATGATCCACATACTACTTTTTGTGTAACCGATGTATCTCTGTTGGATGAATGATGTCACTGCAGAATCACACTCGTGAAACTGTATACCCTACTAACCCTGCGCATAAAAAATATGATGTAGTTTAGCTTCATTGAAGGATTCTCTTCACTGATATAGAATTGCATTATGCTTTTTGCAACTAATATGGGTTTAGTTTTATCTGTCGAGAGAAAGTGTCATTTTTCTATTTGTTCTTTGCATGCAGGAAGATGGTTTTGATTTGGTTACCATTATTAAGGGTGTTAGTTTCTACCGTCGTGGAAAAGGTCTTGACTATGTTTCAGACTATGTGCCACCAACCCCTGCTGAATATAAGAAACATTATGAATCAAACAGGTAAAATTTTTAGTCTGAACTTTGTTTGAGGATCAAAAAAGATAGTAGTTTAGGACAATTGGAAAGTTCACGCATATCGTGTTCTGTGTACTTAAATTTGCTTAGCTAGTGACCTTATGGCACCGTCCATTCTAATATCCACTCATACAGTATTTTAAAGGTTCAATGAAATGAGCTCACAAAAAGAAGATGCGTCTTGTATGGTCAAAACAAAATAATTTCAGTTGACTAGTTTGTTTCCATATCAATATCGTCGTGTCCACTTTAAAAGAGTTCCTACTTTGGATTAGTTTTCAATCTTTAGACTATTCTTATCTAACCAACTTGCATAATCTTAGATGGTTTGATGAGATAACCGCACCGGTGATGCTGTCAACTTTAGAGGATGGGAGAATTGTCAGAGGTCTGGATGGGATTCCATCGGAGGGGCCTGTTCTGTACGTTGGTTATCATATGTTGTTGGGGCTTGAAGTGGTTCCTCTGGTTGTCCGATTCGTAAGCCAGAAGAACATACTTTTACGAGGGATAGCACATCCTATGATCTTTCAGAAATATGGAAAAGGACAAACGCCTGAGCCGGGTTTTTATGATACTTTTCGGATGATGGGTGCGGTACCTGTTTCGGGGACCAATTTGTTCAAGCTCCTTTCGTCAAAGTCTCATGTCTTGCTCTATCCAGGAGGCATGCGTGAAGCGCTTCATCGTAAGGTACTAGTGCTAGATACTCGGTGTACTCTGATGTCAGAGATTATATAATTGGTGAAAGAACCTGAAATTGGATCAAGCCTTCTGTTAATAAATAAATCATGTATTGCTGATAGTTTTTTATCGGCCGCTCGCTCCAATTACACCGCTGTAATGTCCATGTATGAGGCATGCCAAGCACATACTCAATATGCATGTTTTCTTGCTCTAGCAAAGATAAAATCTGCCCCTACATCAAAACTTGAAGTAATGTTATATGCGATTGCCAGGGTGAAGAATACAAGTTATTTTGGCCGGAACAGTCTGAGTTTATCAGGATGGCAGCCAGATTTGGAGCTAAAATAGTGCCTTTTGGTACTGTTGGAGAAGATGACTTTGGTGAAGTAAGTACTCTGTGAGCTCTTGTGGAGCTTGTGCTCCTATCATTGTATGTTAAAGATGCATGGAATTGTTTACAGAAGGTTTTGGTTTTTTTTACTGCATATGTTTTTGGCTGATGGAGTTTGTCTTTTGACTTGAAAATTAAGCAGACAGATACATGTAGAGCTGGATGCTCTTATTTTTCTTGCATGCAATGATTGCTGCTGGTAACTGGCGTAATTACACCTGAAAATCTTTGGCTAATTTGATGGAGATGTCAGAACTTGTTGCAAAGCTTTTAACAGGATAGCATCAACAGAATATTGCTTTCAAATGCTTTCATATTATCCTCAAGCGCAGCGCATTCTTTTCTAAAAGTAAATAATTGGATCTCGACCCGTTAGTTGCATGAAGGCATATGGAGAACTTTATTTAATCCACTGAACATCAGTATTTGAGCATAAATCCAACTCTGATACTTCATGTGCACATGATTTGATCGTGTAACTTCTTGCAGATGTTCTTCAGTCAAAGTCCACATGGTTGTTCAATCTAAATTTTGCACCTTGCAGGTCTTTTTTGATTATGATGACCAAATGAAGATCCCATACTTCAGGGACCAGATTCGACAAATGACAGAAGAATTTGCAAAAGTGAGGTATGAAAGTCCAGAGGATTCCAATTTATTTTTCTTGTGAATTTACCCCTAGTCCCTATCAATCTGGTCTATATGTGATGAACAAAAATCTTTTGCATGACTTTGATAGGGCTAACTCAACTGGAGAGGTAGCCAATCAAGACGTGCACCTTCCTTGGATTCTGCCAAAAATTCCTGGGCGGTTCTATTATTGTTTCGGAAAACCAATAGAAACAGCAGGTATGTCCATTGCTGCAGCCTACTTTCCGATTCTCCATAGATATTTGAGATTGATTCTTGGAATTAGCTTTTGCACATCAAGCCGTCATGTCCAAAGAATTGGCATTGGTGAATGGAGATGAAGCCATCCTTAGATCCATCCAAGCACTCATCCATCCCGTCACTGCTTCAATTTCCATTGCATAACTTGTGTTTCTTATGTTCAATTACTAGTGCGTTTTTTTCTTTCCTTTTTCTGCTGGAAAATGCTCATACATTAGATCATGTGTTTGTACACTCCTGAAGGGAGGAAGCAGGAACTGAGAGACCGGGAAAAATCCCATGAACTGTATCTACAAGTCAAGTCGGAGGTAGAGAGATGCATGGCGTACCTGAGAGAGAAACGAGAGAGCGATCCTTACAGAAGCATCTTCTCCCGATTGATGTACCAAGCCACACGGGGTTCCACATCCGAAATTCCAACATTCAAACTGTGATCGGAACCTCATCGGAGAGGGACCGTATTGCTTGGACTTACTCCAGAGTAGCGTAGGCCACACACAGGTTTTACTGTACAGCGTAACAGGTCTTCGGTCGATTATTTCTTCTCAAAGGAAGGAGAATTATTACATTCCTGGTGAAAAACAACGTCGAGGGAAGGAAATTGATGCTGCAAGAATGTCTTCGACATTTGTTACATGGGACATTATCCCCAAGCAATATCATTTGACCAGAACAAAGGTTTCTGAGATTTCGGATCCGCGACATTCCGCGACTGCTGTGTTCGATGGTAACTCAGGAGCCTCCCAGTCTGAAGAACAACTATGGATGGGCTTTTCTTCTTTTTGCTTTATGCGGCTCTTTACTAAATTGTGTCCATAACATTTATCTTGTAATTTCAGAAAGTAAAGAGCAGCTTTGCCTTCAGAACTGGTGAATGTAATTGCGGATGCACTTCTCCATCTCACCCCATCCATTAATTCGAAGTTGTTCCTGGTTTATTCTTGGCGTTTCTTCCTCTTTTCAGGCGATCATCAAGTTTTGAAACCTTGAGCACCATCCATTTCACGCAACCACTCCCACCGAAATGCGAGATAGCTATTATTGGCTAAAGGTACCGTCACTTGCACCTATGTGACATATTTACGATACCGTGATTATATACTAAGCGGTTGAATTCTCATAGTTTTGACTCAATAATCAAATTTTTACCAATAGAGGTGAAAATAGTAACTATAGAGGCAGTCGAGATCATGGGTTCTATAGCCAAATTGCTGCAATTGCACCGGAAGTTACGACTTCATGTAAATTACGACTTGTGGAAGAAAATACAACAATTTCTTTATTGACATGAGATCTCACCTCGATTTTCGCTGGCGGGATAGAAGGCTCCCAACCAATTTTGGTGGTCCGGCTAGGTGGCTAATGTATTTTAGAAGATAATTACTAAAAAAGTTATAAATCTATGGTACGGATATCAATTCAGTTATACATCTTTCAATTTTTGTCAATAATTGGATCTGGGCGAGAGCATCGCGGCCTTCACCCACCGTGAGCAAGGACCTCTACGCCCTCGTCGGCCAACAGGTGCGGGGGCCCTCACCCAGACCAAGCGAGGGTCGCCGGCCCTCACCTGTGGCCAGCGATGGTCAGCTAGCGATCTCGCCGGCCAACATTGTAAAAAATAAACATTCTAAAAAAAATTAAAAATTTAAAAAATTATTTATGTCAGCTCCAATTATGTCACGTAGGACCGCCGACGATTATGTCCGCGATTTCCGGCCTAAATTGGCAGGATGGACTGAATTGGTACCAATGCGAAAAAGGCTTAGGACTAAATTGATTTAATTGAAGGTTTATGACTGAATTGGTACCAATGCACTAGCTATATGAATTTTTTGATACTTTTCCCGTAGATAACATCTATGACTGTACTTTCCAAGACGTAGATGTTTGTTGCTTCATTATTCTTTCCTTGATTGAATTCCCATAGCACGTGTATAACTAAAACGTGGATTTTTGTAGCATTCACTGTTGGGGTAATTTTTTTTTTTTAACAAATTCACCATTGGGTGAGTGATACGTGGATGAATGCGATTACAAAATCATCTCCAAGTGCACATATCATCCGTCCAACCGTCCTTGATTGAATTCCTATAGCACGTGTATAACAAAAATGTGGATCTTCGTAGTGTTCACAATCGGTTGGGTGGGGGGGTGGTACGTGGACGAATGCAATTACAAATTATCTCCAAGTGCACATGTCACCGTGCTAACAATTAAATCCAACCTCGCATATTCTCCATAATGACCCTATTTCTTTGCATGGTATGCATATCCATTTAATTTTCATATCCAAAACCTGCCCATTATTTTGTGTCGATATGATGGAGTATATAGAAACTGCATGTCTTTGGATATCGAACATACGCGTTCTTATATAGAATCTACAGTTCAAGGCCAAAAATTTTCAGAGATGTTAGAAGTTCATATTAGTTATGCGAAGGCCAACGATTACTTAACGGTCGTGTTATTTTACAAGATTGACCGTCTAATGTCGGTTATTATTTTTAATTTAGGAAACTGAGAGACTGACGTTCCTAGTTTTAGATATATTTTATGACCGTCCTCCTTCTTCCTTGGCTCAATTAAGGATTGGAAGAGATTTTCTAAAAAAAAATTTGATGGGCGGATTTTATCGAAATTGTCAGTTTAGATAGTCATATATCTCAGGTGCAGCCTCAACTTTATCCGGTGGCCAATCTTCTCGCCATCTCATATGTGGTTATAAAAGCATTCGTTATGTTAAAAAATCGACAGCAACTTTCATGCTAGCACGATTCTTTGTGTTAAAAAATTCGTTCCAGTCTGTTTCTAGGTTTCAAATACTGAGAGATTTTGTGGGACCACTGCCAACTATTCTAAAAGCCTCACGCTTAGACCATGCTTAGTCTGGTCTTTTTTAATTGGAAAGGCAAAACAAATGGGGCCTAGAAAAATTCGAACTTAAAACCTCCTGCTCTGATACCATGTGAGATTTTGTAGGACCGCTGCTAACTATTCTAAAAGTTATGCATGGTTTATTATTTAAATATTCTAATAGAAACCAATCTTGATAGGGTAGGTTACGAGTTTCAGGTTTGAAACCTACCCATCCTGAAACCGCTTACTCCTATTTTGTGAATGCCGGTAGGGGTGAGCAAGGGTCCATGGTAGGCCTTGCAATCGGACCGGACCGACCGGGTTCTAATCCGATTCCAAAATCTATAAGGTAGGTTTCAGATTTCAAAAACTGGAAAATCGGTCCCCACAATGTAAGTACCAAAGGTTGAACTCCATTTGCTATGATAGTGAAGTAACTCTTTTAAGTCTCGTTAATAAGGTCCTTCGAATAGTTAGATCTCAATAAAAGTTTTAACAAAAAAGAGAAATACTATATTCCTTATTAATAACGATTTCTAGCAAAAACGATTGGGTGTTCAAAACCTTTGACAGATTTGCAAGAAGATTTCATGGTCTTTAATTGAATGTTGACCATTGCCGGCCGACTAACGTTATCCCGTTTATATGATATTATGATGTGATGCGGTCTCGTTTTTCCGGCTTCTAATAAGATTGCTCCTTTCTGTTAAATATAATTTTCGTCTTACTTCCGTACGAGTTACGACAGCCGCGGCATCGTCGCCGGCCGTGCCATTGTCCAATCATGAGTGCTCCCGCCTTTTTTATAATCTCTCGGTGTCCGCCAGCAACAGATTTTCCAGCTTCCATTCATTTTGTTTCTTCCCTTTAACTGATTTGACCTTCCAGCCGTCGCTCTCTCCGGTCTCCGTCGTCCATGGCGGCAGCCGGAGCCTGTCTCTTCCCGTCCGGCTTGTCTCCGGCTCTCCGTCGCCGGGGCGGAGCTCCTGCCGCCGCAAGCTCCAGCCAGAATCCGATACTCAGGTCATCGTTGACTAGCAGATGCGCCGTTTCGGAGGAGCAAGCATCCTCCGCTTCGCCTGGAACTACCATTCCTCCGTCGAGACCGGTTAGCTTCGGAGAATATGGGAGGCGCTACGAGAAGGGTGCGAGCGACCGGAGCTCGTCGACGCCGTTCATGGATGACGTGGAGTTGGAGAGCGGACGCGAGAGGTTGAGGAGGTTCTTCGATCAGGCCAAGGATCTGACCAGGTCGGACGGCGGACCGCCTCGCTGGTTCTCTCCCCTGGAGTGCGGCTCTCGCTTGGAGAAGTCGCCCCTGCTTCTCTATTTACCCGGTGAGTCCACTCGAGGTCGACTTCGATAACTAATCATCATTCTTGCTCGTGGTTGCGAGACATGTAGCCGTTCGATTTTGTTGCCTTCGGTAGTTCATAATTGAAGTGATCCGACAGGAGTTTGAGAGTGTAACTGGACTTCCGAAGCGACGCTTTTGTGATTTCGACCATGATGATCTACGTCGGGGCTGTAACTTTTTATTGCGAGTGACATTTGAGAATCTATCAGTGTCAGTATTCTTCCGTTACGAAGCTGTTTGATGTGCAGCTTGGAGTTGAAGCCTTTTTCTGCTTTTACGTTCAGACATCACTTTAATCTAATCATAAGCTGTTGGGTTTTCTTATGAATTTGTCATGTTTGTGCAAATCTTTTTCGATCTTGATCAGACTTTCAATGCTTTTTATTCCCCATACGCTGTTTCTCAGGAATCGATGGCACTGGAGCTGGGCTTACTTCACATCACAAGAAGCTCGGAAAGTAAGCATGTCTACTATTCCTCAATTGTTCAATCTTCCAGTTTAGCGCTGAATTTTCAGCATCTAATTCTGCTTTTTGCCGAAATGCTCCATAGCCTCTACACTATATTTATACCAGCACTCTGGATTAGAAGCGCCCACCAGAACTTAATAAGGAAATGAAAGATGGGAAAAAACAATAGCAGTGTCTGGCAACATGGGGCAGCTAGCTTGTTTATGAACGTACAACCTCAAATCCCTTCCGGCTAGATCAGTCATCAAATAGCAGAGTTTGAAAATTTAGAATATCGGTTATCAAATCAGAAGCAGTATGCCTTCTGTTAAGATGTATTTGCTCTGGTGCACATTAGAGACATACTAAAAGCTGCTTCACAAATCAGTTTTCTTTTCTCATTCCTAATGAATCTTTTGAAAATTCGTTCACTCCCTGTTCACTGTAAAAAAAAGTGGTAATTGCTGCACTTTGCATCAGGTTGAAGGCTATTCTCTTTCTCTCTTTAACTTGGATGAAGTGAGATGAGACACAGAGCCTGTGTTACCTTACTACCATCTGTGGGCTACTCGGGCTATTAATGACTGTACAAACTGTTTCATGCAATAGATGACACACTTCAACGTTTAATGCAGCAGGAAATAGCTAACTTCATGAATGTTTTCATGTATGAAGGGTGTTTGACATTTGGTGCTTGCACATCCCAGTCATGGATAGAACGTCATTTCCAGGTCCTCCTCATACTCTCTCCAACTGCTTCACCAATTCTGAATATAGTAACAATCTGAAGACAATGTCATTTGTAATCAACAATTTAATTGTGATGCTTTTAGCTCCATTACGTAGTAAAAGTTTATCATTTAATGATGGAGCTGTAATAAAACAATGCAAGGCTGCAATAGATGCTTTCAATTCTCTCATCTTAGTACCAGTCATATGACTTGATAACTCTTAAATCAATTTGCATGGCTCAGACCTGGTGAAAATGGTTGAGAGAACAGTAAAATCAGAGAACTGCCGCTCCCCAAATAGACCTATATATCTTGTTGGAGAATCACTGGGAGGATGCCTTGCATTAGCTGTCGCAGCACGCAACTCTGACATTGATCTTCTATTGATCTTGGCCAACCCAGGTGAGGAAAAATTTCTAGTGAAGTTTAATAAAAGGAACAAGTATTCAAGTTATTATATGAACTCAGAAATGATCAGTTTTCTAACTTAAAATCTCTGGAAAAACAAATAAGACAAGAAGCTTACGTACATGCAGCCTTTTCTTGTGGTAAATGAAATGCTCTATGTGAGTTTTGCAGCACCTGCATTGAACTTTGTTGGATTAAGGCTTACCTTCAATTAGACCTCTGTCAGTTGTGGCAGGTTTGCTTATTAAAAACAAAACATCATACATACTTTTTTGCAGCGACGTCTTTTGACAAGTCGCAAATACAAGCTCTATTACCATTCCTGGAGTTAATGCCAGAACAATTGCATCTAAGCTATCCTTTCATCCTGAGTTTGATGGCAGGTCTGCTTTGCTCCTTATTATTTGTATTTTTCTACATTGTTTCAAGTAATGCAGAAAACCTTTCAGGTTTGTTTTTATCACTTCCTGTACTATACTAGGCTACTGACTTACAGGAGGCTGATAATATAGTAATCTACGGTTGAGGTCTAGAGAATGTAAGAAGAGAGAAGAATCTTACTGAAGAAAATTTTGATACATGCCACCTCCAGAAGCCAAGAAGCTAGGGGCAAAGTTGGACGCCTGGATGCAATTACATCATCATGAGCGATATAATGACTGCTTACTAATCTTAGATGAGCACTGTCTTGATTGTTTATTGAAAACCTCTGGGCATGTTTGCATTCCGACCTAATTGAAAGTATGTGTTATTAGAGATTTTGACTTCAGAAACAACTGAATGACTGAGGATAGCGGAGGCATGGTTGCCTGTTAATCTCACAGGAGCCACCCTGGGGTATTTAGCGAACCTCTCTATTCAGCTTCTCTCTCTCCCCTAACTGCTTCTATTTACAACCTCCATTAATTGGTGGTGCTACAATCACAGGCGACCCCCAGAACCTCTGTTTCATAGCTTTAGATGATGGTTGCCATTTGTAGGAATACCTTTCTGCTTGATGATGGTGAAAAGGGGGCACCAGCTGCTGTGTAAATGTGTGGGGTGGGGCTGGCTATAGTTTGGGGACACCCAGTAATCAATACCATAATTATCCGGCTGCAGCCATGCTGTAATTTTCTCCACTTATTCGAGTTCATTTCTGGTAAATACAAGGTGATCCTTCGAGGACGTTCAAGGCCAGCACAGAAAAAGGGCTTACTCCACAGCAAACAGCTGGAGAGCTATCAAAGAACATATTGACCATGTCATCTTACATCTCTGTAAGCTAAACTATGGCCATCATGTTCATGAGACTAGCATGCTTTTTTGCAATTTATTTTCCTTGAGTTCATTTATTGAGTAGAACTCTTCCCAATTACATTTTCTTTAGACATGAACAACAGGCTAGACTTGTGCTATGTATGTCCACTATAATTTTTTGCTGGAAAAAGATTCATGGCAAAATTTACAGGTTCTTGCTGATATTCTCCCTAAGGAAACACTTTTGTGGAAGCTTCAGATGCTTAAATCGGCTTCGGCATATCCAAATTTACGCATTCATGCTGTCAAGGCACAGACTCTACTTCTTACAAGGTCGTTGTTTTATTCATTTCTGTCAAATCTCATCTAATTAGGTGCTAATTGATTGGAGTTTATGATAGCTATGTACATTTTGGCAGAACAGATATCCTGAGCCAGTCTTATTGCTATCTCACACATCTCTTAGACAGCAAGGAGGAAACATGACACTGACACATGGATATTTGACAATAAAGGCAAATGAGGATCTAACTTGTTATCTCCTTGTACTGTCATTGGATTTCTTCTTAACTACTAAGTATTTCTTCTTAACTACTAAGTAACTAATATGGTTGAGTTTCATAAGACCATTAGTGAAGCAAACTAAATGGATACTCTCACATGTTTGTGAGACTGATATGAAAAATTTCAAGCACTTAAGTATAATCAAGTAAGATCTACATCTTCCTATCAGCAGCTTAGAAATATTTGAATTGAAGAATGATTAATTGGGCCGGAATTGCCCAAAGAAAAAAAAAGGTAAGTAAAGTGTTTAAGCCATATGCATTAGTCATGCACATGTCAAAGACATAACCCATTTTTTTTTAGTTTGGATATTAGATGGTAAAACAGGCAATGCAGTGCAACTACTCGCATAGTGGATATTGCTACAATATCTTAGGCATAATCGAAGGCTACAGCCTTATTTGGAAGAACTTTGATGAGTTTTCCTTCAACTAAAAGTTAAACTATTGTCTTAATTCAACTGTGTAGAGTCATGTAGTAAGACCTATATGATACTGGCTAGTGGCAACGCTATTGCCGCGGCATATTTGTCCACTATTAAGAGGAAAGGTCATTCTAATTCTTCGTTTTTGCCTGAACCAACTCGATTTTGGGAGCAACATCATGGTCACGTCTCCTTGGTTTTTTTTTGGTGTTGGGTGGTCTATCTGCTTAGGAGGTGCTCAGTCTTCAACCATCCCTTTTGTCCCCTTTCTTCAATGTTTGTTTTTGAAGATGCACAAACCTATTATTTAAATTTGTAACTGTCATGTATTTCCTGGACTAATTTTAATTGGAATTTGTAATTCTAGTGGGAAGGATTGGCTATTGCCAAGTCAAGCAGAAGGTGCTAGACTAAACGAGGCACTCCAGAGAAGCTCTATTCGTAAGTTTGATGCCTGCGGTCATTTTCTTTTCTTGGTAGGTTTTCTCTTTCCAGAAGCTGGAATTATGCATGAACTTCTATCTCGAATGTGTCTTGCGATTTCAATAGAAGGAAGAAAAAAAGGCACCCTATGAAAGAACCGAACAATTTCACAATCCTTGGTTTGCCATATCAACTGGAAATATCGCAAAAGAAAAGAATACAGAAACTTCTACTAGTCTCGAATGTTCTTCTTACTGGATGACTATTGGACTTCTGAATTTGCACCATCTACAATCTGAATAGTGTGTCCTACATGGTGAAATTTTGCAGAGCCATTAATTTTTAAGTTACTCCTTTTGATTGATATTTCCTATAGGCATTCTGCAATACTTCATGAGATTATCACGCCGAGTCCAATCTGCTGAGTCGTAGATCTGTTAATGCTAGCTTTAGTATGCTCTTAAATGGTCATATACACCTTAGACATTCAAAATTGTTTTCAAAATGTTTCTCTGTTGGATGAATGATGCCACTGCAGAATCATAGTAGTGAGGATGCATATGCGCATGCAGTTTAGCTTCATTGAATACCGATATGGGTTTAGCTTTTTCTAATGAGGAGTATTGTCATTTGCATGCAGGAAGATGGTATTGATTTGATAACCATAATTAAGGGCGTTGGTTTCTACCGTTGTGGAAAAGGGCTCGACTATGTTTCAGACTACCTGCCACCAACCCCTGCTGAATATAGGAATGTAAATGAATCAAACAGGTAAAGTTTTTTGTTTGAACTTTGTCCAATGGTCAAAACAGGATAGCAATTTAAGATTCATAAATATCGTGTTCAGTGTACTTATTGTATTGTATGGTCAAAGCAACATATTTTTCAGTTGAATAGATTGTTTCCGTAGCAAGATAGGCATGAAAGAGTTCCTACTTTGAATTGTTTTCAATGTTTAGACTATTGTCATCTAACAACTTGCATATTTTTAGATGGTTTAAAGAGATAACTGGACCAGTGATGCTGTCGACTTTAGAGGATGGGAGGATAATTAGAGGTCTGGATGGGATTCCATCAAAGGGACCAGTTCTATATGTTGGTTATCACATGTTATTGGGACTTGAACTGGTTCCTTTGGTTTCTGGAGTCCTAAACCAGAGGAACATACATTTACGAGGGATAGCACATCCTATGCTCTTTGAGAAATATAGAAAAGGACAAACGCTTGACCCGCAGTTTTTTGACACTTTCCGGATGATGGGTGCGGTACCTGTTTCAGGGACCAATTTGTTCAAGCTTTTTTCATCAAAGTCCCATATCTTGCTCTATCCAGGAGGCATGCGTGAAGCGCTTCATCGTAAGGTATTATAACCTTAATGTACTGCAGATGTCAGCGATTATATAATTGGTGAAATAACCTCATATTGGATCGTGATGGCAAGACTTCTTTTCAATAAGAATCATACATCTCAGCGGATAGTTTTTTATCAACTCCTCTCTCCAACTATGTGCATGTTTGTGGCACATGAACAAGAACATACTTGATATTCATGTTTGCTTGCTCTAGCAAAGATGAAATGTGTCCCTACATCACAATTTAAAGTAACGTCAGAAAACATGTCCAATTACCAGGGTGAAGAGTACAAGCTATTTTGGCCAGAGCAGTCTGAGTTTGTCAGGATGGCAGTTAAATTTGGAGCCAAAATAGTGCCTTTTGGTACCATTGGAGAAGATGACTTTGGTGAGGTAAGACTATAAAAGTCAGGTTCGCAATGTGAGTTATTGTCGGTTTTGATTTTCTTTTACTGCTTATGATTTTTTTCTGATTGAGTTTGTCTTTTGACTCGAAAGTTAAGCAAACAGGTATATGTAAAGGCGGATGCTCTTATTTTTCTTGCATGCAGTGACTTTTGCCGGTAACTAACGTAAACTACATTTGAAAATCTTTGACTAGTTTTATGGAGATGTCAGACCTTGTTCCAAAGCTTTTAACATGATAGCATCAACTGAACTTCGCTTTCATATGCTCTCATATTATACTCAAGGGCAATATGCAGTTTTTTCCCTAGAAGTATAAGTTTGGATCATGACCCATGAGTTGCATGAAGACATGATTTAATATTTGTACATAGATCAACTCTGCACTTCATGTGCACATGATTTAATCGCGGTACATCCTGCGGATGTTCTTCGGTCAATGTCCGACATGTTTGTTTACTTTAATTTTTGCGCCTAGCAGGTCTTTTTTGATTATGACGACCAAATGAAGATCCCATACTTCAAGAACTGGATACATCAACTGACGGAAGATAATGGAAAAGTCAGGTACGAATAGCCCAGCGGATTCCAATCCATTTTTTCTTGTGATTTTACCCACTGTCCCTATTTTCCGCGTCTATTTGCGATAAACAAATATCTTTTGCGCGACCTTTGACAGGTCCAATGCAGCTGGAGAGGTAGCCAATCAAGATGTCCACCTTCCTTGGATTCGGCCAAAAGTTCCTGGCCGATTCTATTTTTGTTTCGGAAAACCAATAGAAACAGCAGGTATGTCCATTGCCGCAACCTGCTTTCCGATTTCCACAGAGTTATCATATATTGATACTGGGAATTGAAACCCGTCATCTCCTAAGAAGTCATATGCGAGACCGGAGATGAAGCCTCCATTAAATCAATCCACGCCATTGATTCATCCTGTCATTGCTTCAATTGATAATTTTTCCATCTCACAACTTACGTGCACATGCTTGATTTCTAGCGGTCTTTCTTTTATTTGTTTATGCTCAGTAGTGGTCAATTCATTCAACCTTGTATGACAGATACATAACTAGTACACTTGATATTGGTCGTGAAGCTGCACTTTACGCCCTTTGTTACCGGTCCTAGAGCACTCTGCACAACAATTTTCCTCTTAAAAAATTGGTTTTCTCAATTCGACTCAACTGCGGTTTACTAGTAAGTCGACTTTATGACGTGATTGTGCTCCTGAAGGGAGGAAGCAGGAACTGAAAGACCGGGAAAAATGTCATGAACTGTATCTACAAGTCAAGTCGGAGGTGGAGAGCTGCATGGCGTACCTGAGAGAGAAAAGAGAGAGCGATCCTTATAGGAGCATCTTCTCCCGTTGGATGTACCGGGCCACACATAATTCTGCATCTGAAATTCCAACCTTTGAACCATGACGGAATACCAAAGGAGATGGACCATATTGCTTTTGAATTCACTCTAAAATAGCATAAGCCGCGGGCTTTTCATTGTACAGTGTAAAGGAGGTCTTTGGCTCAGACTCAGCTGACTTCTGGACTTGCTGAGTCTGAAGAATAATTATGGACGGAGCTTCTCCGCTTGGCTTTTCAAGCTCTTACTAAATTTGTTCTTCAGTTTTCTTGCTTCCTTCTAATTTATGTGGTCTCTCAGGAGTAGAGAAGCTTTTGCCTTTCGGAACTGCTGGATGTAATAATGGACACCCTTCTCTGTCGCCACAGATGGTATTGGGTGGTTTATCTAGGATTATCACTCTTCTTATGCAATAATCGGGTTCTGAAAACTCGCACGTGTGTATATTGGCATAGATGTATATGCATACTAGAACATGCCACACTCAATGAATATACTAAAACATCATGCCGATACTGAAAGAATGATCAAGAAGAGGGAGTTATATTTAGTCTTAATGAAAGAAGAATCAAATCTGCAGATAGATGTCCATTTGGTACTAAATTAGTAAAGAAGAGAGCCACAATGCCTCAATTCTGTAGTTATTGTAAGCGCCACCTGTTTTTTGAAAAGCAATAGTCATGCCAACTTCTTAGATCGAGAAATTATAACTAAAATCACAGCAACGGAGGCTGTCACATCAATACCCTGCAAAAGAAATTTGTGTCCACTTCAGGACGTATCGCACCATGATCAATCTTTCTCGCTGAGTTCTCATCCCATAAATAGGAGAACATAAGTTGATGGCTTCCCAGCATTAATATCATCAAAATGGAAGCTGACGTTCATGCTTTTTTGTAACAACCCAAGTTTTGCAGAGGGTTTGCACATTCATATCTCCTTTATGTATTCTCTGTATTTCTAACATCTCATTGGTTCAAAGAACTGAACTATCCTTTGGCTGACCACTTGAACCGGACAGGCTGTTTCAACATAGAAGCAATAATCTTCGTGTATGACTTTTGCATTGTCATTTTTCATAATTCTAAAATTGAATATACACCTATAGTTTCCATGTTGTGGTCTATGGGGCTTGAACCTAAAACCTCTTGAACCCTTCAGGTGCTGTATACCACAGAATGGAAAGGAAGCCAGTATATGTCCCTTAATTGCTACTTTACATGTTCCCCAGCCAGGCGGCCACCACAGAACTGGTTTCATAGCAGTTTCAAAACACCAATTACGCGAAGGGACTGGAGCTGGCAAATCACTTAGATATGCTCATGACCAAATCAGAAAGGATGAGGCAGTGAATTCAGATGTTTGGAGAAAAAAGAGAGGTATATAATCGCAAATTCCCAAGCACGGCTGATCAAAGAGCAAAGACTGAGCACTAGATGTCAAGGGTTGTAATTACCGTCTTGCAATAACAGTCCCAACAGCCAAGGAAGAACAGGATGGATTACAAATCTATACATAGGGTTCTCACGTCTTTGCCTTTTCTTGTTGAAGAAGCTTTGTCATGGTATAACACCACAACAGAATAATCAGATTTGTAGAGCCTTAACAAAAGACAATGAGGAGCCGCAGCACAAAAATGCCTGTGGTGAATAAGCCGTCTAGTTTCGATGTATGCCAAAAGGATATGTAGACCTTGTAGACTAGAAAGGTCTTCCTGCTTCTTGCATCATCTTCTTTACTCGAGTCAATTTTTCAATCTCCTTGAGAACCTGAAACATCAGAAAGGGAATGTAACATTTATACTTAGGCCAGAATAGGGTGGACTCTGATGAAAATGACATCACAGAACACTCTTCACCTCCATGGCCAAGTCTTCCACAGTTACAGCACTGAAATCATCACGGCCATACTGAGAAGCTACTTCTGCAAAGGAGAAGTGACAATTGGCACCACAATTGTTGCGCTTTTGCAAGGAATAGAGCATGTGTGGAATCCTTGTGTTTTTCCATGTGTGAAATATATTCTACCAAATAATGTGATGAAGAAATTACACACGTATACTGAGTCTATATAAAACATACTTTGGAGTGACACATTTACATCAGCTGTAGCATACCCCACTCTTGTTTCCTCATATAGTGCAGCTAGCTGAGCCAAGACCTGATCATTATGTTCACGCAACAGTTAGTAGATGAAGATGTCTAAAACAGGTGCAGGAATAGAAAATGGACACCACAATGAGTTGCAAGTTTCACATTTGCATTCTGTTGGAAAGTTTACAGAGATCGCACCTCTGAATATGATTGGGAAGTAGATAGTTGAGAAGAAGGAAGGTCTTCTACCAACCCCTTGGCAACAATATCTAAGGGCACATCTATCCATATCGAGATCCCATGTCTAAGGAATCCCCTGCAAATTTTTAGGAGCGGCTTAAGATGAGAGAGAGACGGAGACGGAGACGGAGACGGAGATAAAGACGGAGGGAGAGAGAGAGAGAGAGAGAGATTAATTGCATACAGATTAGTTGAACTCTGAACTGCACCATCTCCAGCACAAACAACCAAGCGACCCATGGATGATAACTGCTTTAAAACTTCAGCCTGCAACAGAAGTCCCCCGATTAGATGTCTACTGAACCATAAGGATGAACTGTATCTACTGATGAAACAGGAGTTTAAGAAGAAAATTAAAGAAAAAAAGCCGAAACACTACAGGATGTCACTATCAAAGTTTTCAACCACAACATATGCCACAAGAACTAAATTCTTCCACTAATGTTCATTGACCCCAATGCCTCTAAGACTTATTGCACCAGATAACAATCCATTGAATTTCAGCCATCTAGTCTAGGCCCAATGTGCAAAAGCAATAAAGACAAAACAACCTAATATATCACCTCAGACTCACGAAATCCTTGCTCGTCTGTCTCCCTAAATAGTTTTGCAGAAGCTTCACCACCAGCAGCTTCCTCGACCAATGCATCACTGGAACAAACAGACCACAAGTTACATATAGCAATCCACACACTCTGCGAACACCATACTGAAATTCCTTCGGCTCTCAACCGATAAAATCAGAGTACCTATCAAAGAAGTAATATCGTAACACTTCCGCTAAAAGTTTGGCTAACTGAGTTTTAATGGAGCTCTTCATCCCTTCAAAGCAGACAATGATCATTGGATACTTGACTAGTACTTCTAACACAAATGCAATTCTCAGACTGAAGAAAAATCTTACCGACAAGAAATATGGAAGTTCCTTTCAATTCTGGCGCAACATCCGCAGCTTTCTTCTGAAGCAAAACCAAAGAGTTAAGATAGGTCTTCCACAACATTATGAGCTGTTGGTAGTTGATATGACTAACAGTCATAATCAAAAGCACGAGGTAGTAAGTATTAGTGCTACTAAATGATTGTTAGATTCCACTTGGCAGAGGAATAAGGTGCAGAAAACAGCAAGACACAAGATATCCTTCTTCAGGAAGCAATATTTCACGATCTTCATTCTCTCATTTCTAGGTATATCAAACAAATTGTGCATAAAACATATCGGTCAATTAAGGACCGTGAACTCACCTTAAGTGCAAGGGCAAGATCAACCTCAACCTTTGGTGGTGCACCTTGAAAGAGATTCGAAATCACACAATCAAAAAGCTGGATTATAAAGGAGGGCAAACAGATGACACAAAAGAACCTTCCATCAATCAGCTGAAAACTACTGAACATTCAACTCCTATTACTCGACCATCGATCAGTTACGCTAATGGCATGACCGAAATATCCCCGACTAATGTAATCATCCAAAAAATCACCACCTACTCAAGAGCTCCGAACCGCGTGGCTCCTCAGGACCAACAATCGAGCACACGACACGCATATGCTTCTAGGCGTGACAAGCGCGACAAGCGCGACAAAAGCAAGCCTAACATGCCGTCGCGATATCAACCAAATGATTCGCCGGGACAACATTCCACACCATCGCTTCACATCAAACCATCAAATTCTAGCTCAACTCGACCTTACAACAAAACTAACATACTTCTTCAACTTTCCTCCGTATCCTCGAAGGTCGCGAACGGAGCCGGTGAGCAATCGGCTGAATCTCGAGCTGAGACGAATAGTATCCAAAAGAACAAAAAGGACTCACTGAGAGTGGTCTCCTCGGGCAGCGCGCGCGTGGCGGTGAGAGATTTCCGACGAAGAGACGCTCGGAGCCGCGAAAGGCGCGGTTTAGCAGCAGCAGACGACGGCGACGACGACGAAGAAGAAGCGGCGGAGAACGGCGAGATAGAACTCGGAGCGATTGCGCTGGAATCGCCGTGGAATTTGAGGCCGTTGTAGGTGGAGAAATGGATCGTCGCCATCTCCGATTGGTTTCCGTGAGCGGTGCAGTGAACCACTGAAAATCTGACTCGTTCTGTTTCTCGCTTCTTCGCTTCTTGCTTCGTGGCTCTTTTTATCCGCAGCAACGATGCTGTGAGGAGGTCCTATCCGCGGCGCGTGGGGTCTTTGAACCAACTGTAGAAACTGATTCCGAACTTCGTTTCGTAATAGAGTTCTCCAGCGAGATTTTTTTACTTATTAATTTTGGACCTTTTTCCAAATGCTTTGCAAATTAATCAAAAATCTTTTGTGGCGTTTAACGTTAATCAGATTCCATAATACTTGGTTTGCGAAAGCCTATGTAAAAGATGTCCATGCCACGATTACTGTTTTTGTCTAATACCGAAACTGAAATGGCACATGATCGTTGATCGAAACTGGAAAGGCGGTGCCAATTTAGCTCGAATCGACTTTGAATTCGAGCTCCATCCATGGGATTTTCCATGCGTTCTGGTCACCTGAACAATACCCTTCACGCTTGCTTTCGGTCACTTCCACAGTTCATGAATTTCTCAACGCATTGAAACTGAGCGCTGACTCAATCCACACATCTTCGCTCCCCCTTCAGAAGGTCTTTATTAGCTAAGTAATAACTCTCAGAGGACATTGAACAACATGCATTAATCTTGCTCTTTCTTCTTGGTGAACAATTCACGGATCGGAACTGGTGCTTACAAAACTGTACGCCAGTAGCTTCTGTTACTGTCGTCCTGTTTAGTAGTTTAGTAGTCTGACTTTCGATAGAGAACACCGGTCACTCAACGGTCGGTATACAGTACATACATCAGTCCAGTGAGTTCTATTCTATGCTGCCGAGGCCCTTAATACAAAGGTCCATCCAAGTGAGACCACCACCGGTTTCCTTTTCATACAAAAGCCAACACTAGCAAATAAATACAAAACCGCGCTCCACCAGATCAAAGAAGCATGAACGAAAGGAACAAAAGAAACGGTTAAATCAAGGACGACCCAATGCTTATTCAACCATCTAGCGGGAAAAGGATAAAAAAAAAAAACCCGATCAACCAATTATCGCACCACTTCGTCACCAGCCCGGAGAATGTGCATGCAATCGTCTCTCTTGCCATGTAGAAGTCTCCCCATGTCTTCACTGAAACACAGCAGGTAATTGTGCACAAGAAACTGCAAAAAGCCGCACTAGCATCTGAACTCTGCTGGTAGGTTGTGATTTTGACTAGTTGGATGGTTGCTGCCCTTGCTAGCTTGAACTTTGGGAATATACATGTTTTGTACCGGACGACGCTTGGTCAATTCCCATCTCAACTACCCAACTTACGTATAGCCATGCCTACAGATACCACACCTAAACAGCTAATGCACAGCATGGGCCAATATCAAAAAGTAATGAAGAGGGGGGAGGTTGCTGCTCATGCGAGGAGGCAACTTGATGATGAGGATGCTGCGGTCAGATTTGACTCCAATTGACACTTTCAAGTTCTAACTAAACAAAGACAACAAGAGATTCACTTCGACCTCAAGAAAAAAATGCATACACTTTCTCCAGTAGATCGAACTTAACAGCAAATTAAAAAAAATTTAAGCTAGCTTCAGATGTGTTGCTGCCTATTTCCTACCATGACATCCACAGAAGTTTATGCAACTGCTTCTTCACCGGACATACTAATGAAGGAATGTAACTAAGTCAGTCCAAGTGGAATCAATCAGACCATTGTCAGGTAAAGTTGAAGCTCTAGCATTTGAACATTAGCTCAAACATCAAGAATGGATCTTTAGCATTCCAAGTTTCAGACTACTGCAGGATAGAACATCAGAATACTCATTTTCCAAATGGACGGATGGATGAAAGACGATCAAAATTCAAAATTCAAATGCTATGGACTATCATTACTGAAATCTGACTCAGAAAGAAAACAAAACCTTATTTAGGTAATTACCCTGGTAGAAAAAAAAGAATAAAGTTTCTCACTAGAGGATTTTCATGACTGATCAGATCATAGATGCCCCACTTGCCCATCTATCAACAATAGCAAGCAAGCTGGCAAGACCACAACGTGAACTACAAAAAAGCCACATCATATATACAGATGTGACCCCAGCACTAAACTAAGAATAAATATTACCATGCCAGGAAGATAGTAAGAGGTAAAAATCCACGGCTTCTTTAACCAAAATCAGCCTCCACCTGCAACCAGTAACAACGCAACACCAAAATCTCAAATTTGCTCCTTCTAAGGAAGCAAAAGAAGCATGAGGGTAGACAGGATCGAGCCATATATATCAAGACACTCGGCTTCATTACGGCAGTATCTTCAAAGAAATGGATCGAAAGTTTAAAAACCTGTCTTACCAGTTTCAGGGGAAGAATTTTGGACTCTTGACACTTGGAATAGAAAAACTTGCAAGGACATAATTTTTTTAACAACTATGTGGAAAAAGATTAACATCTACACAGATATAATGAGAAAATGCAGACAACTGGTAGCACACAATATATGCAGAATTGAAGCCGTGTCTAGTTTAGACTGCCACAAAAGATCGTTTAATAAGATGCTTCCTTCCTTAGACAATCTACAAACCAATCACTTTCAACTTTTAATCATTTCACCAGAACTGACCACTTTCAAAAGTTATAGAAGCCGATTTAAAGTTCTATAAGGCCTAGTGGAAGTGTGACTTGTTCAAAAAGATTATCTTTCAAGGTTGTGAATAATTTTCAGCTGACATTTATACATTGTCCTGCATACATGATTTGAAAACCATTTATACATTTCACAACGCCGATTGCATGAATAACTAAGTGCCATTAGCATGACAGTGCGCTGCTACACAAAGACAAAGAAAAGCATAGGACAAAAGGGAGGACAACAATTCTCTCTATTATAACAACAGAACATAATTTCTTGAACTTCTAGACACTTCAAGGGTCGCATTTCTAACTTCCTTACCAATTCCTTTTCTCTGACCAAAAACTACTTGAACCAACTCATAAAACTATATTCTCAATGTTACACATGGGATGACTGAATGTCCAGAGGAATCCCGAAAGGCCTCGATTTCTTCAACTTATCTGCCGTCATATGGACATGCACAAAAATTTGTTGAAAAGGAAGGACCACCTCATCGTTGAAGAAACTACGGATATGCAGTTCATATCTCATTCACCTCTTATAGTACCAGGCTGATAGGTAGCAACAGTCGAAACTGGTTTGATGTCCACAAGAGAAATAGGAGTTAATGGAGGCGAAGTTACTTCTTCCACCTTTTCTAAAAGTTGTTGGGACTCCGCTGTCTTGGCCACATTAATTCCTATTGCTCTTTGACTACTTGAAGGTATGGAAAAACTTCGAGGCATATTCAACGGAGGAGGTGGAAGTGGAGACGCTGCTGAGGGTATTCTACTGTTTGCAGAACCCTCTGGATTTCTGGGCAATAATGGAGCAGAGTGACCGATGAATCCAGAAGATTTGAATGGCTTCGTAGCCAGATTGCCAGGTGGTCTAGGAAGCTCATGGAGCTCACTTATCCTTGGAGAAGAAACAAGAGGTGGTGAAGCAGTAGGGGATGCTTTTGGAGATGATGAAGGCTGAGCAGAGCGTGGAAGTATTCCAGAAGCCACTTGGGCTTCATGAGAAGGAAAGATGGGACCACTTGCATTTAGGACAGGCTTCTTAGGCATCGGCGTCAGTGGACCAGAGAAGGCTTGCCTTTTGACTTTTTCTGTGTTATACACAAGTCCCTCCATCAGAGGAGGAGGCAATTGGCCAAAACCATTGTGGCTATTAGAGCTCTCTCTGACTTCCGGTACAGATTTTAGGTCTTGCTTTCTTATCTCCAGTGGAGAAGAATGCCACAAATTTGGGTTCTGTCCACTAACGCCGGCTGGCCGAGAGCGTGGAACTGAGATACTTGTTCTTGAAGAAAGAGTCTTCACATCAACAGGAGTAGGCAACACGTACGAGTTGGACTTTGATGTAGATAATTGCTGCATGTGTCTTGCTTTTTCGGCAGGATCAAACTTCTTCTCAGGAAATATTGGAGCTGAATGGCTGCCCATTCTGTATTCTCTACTAAGGACATCCCCTTGGCTTTTTTCAATATTCACCTGCCATAAGAGATAATGAATAGAATTAGTACTCCAAAAAAAAAGACATTTGTCATTAAAATATAATAAAAAAGAATAATTCACAAGTTTACAAACCGAACGATACAGATCTAATCAATCAGTCCTACGAATCACTGGACCTTAAGCATTCACCAGCTTAGTTTCCAGGCATCTAACATCCAGTTCATTTTGCCAATTAAATTTTAAACTCCTCTCACTTAAAAAAAACTCAAGTCCCCTATGTGTTTTATCAGTCAGGATGATTCACTCCTAACAACAAGAACTCAGCTGCGTTGTTACCTCTGCACCTTCAGCAGTAGAGCTTTGAGTATATGAAAGGTTCACATCATCCACCTGATTCGACACATGAAACGTCATGTTAAAATAGCACGCCAAAATAGCTTGACCGTCCTCCATTGGGGAAAACACGGGATTAAAGCAGGAAAATACCAGAGTCTACAAAATAATATGAAGTGAGAAAATAATAAACTGGAAGCATGTCGTAGAGACAAAGTCAACTGGGAAGGGTTCAACGATATTAAAGACCTTATCATCTGTCCAGAAAATAAAACAGCCATGCCAATTAGCTATAGAAGTTTCAAATTCCCAAAATGATCTTATAAGTGCTACCAGAACCAGGCCTGTGTGATATGCATTTCTGCTAGCATAGATAGAGGCCCGAACGGAACAATTTTGAATGGTTGAACCGCAAACTGGTCAGTTAATAAGCTCATACTCCCACAATAACCAATTAAGTGGGAGGGGGTCAAAAGAGAGAAGGTCATTCTTTACGTGGGATCAAATCAGATGCTGACCTCCATTGAATTCTTTGATTGCGAAACGACATTCCGGCCCCGAGAATCTTGTCTGTAGTCAAAACTCGATTCTCCATCTTGTTTAGCATCATAGATATCTGCACCATCATCTTCGCCATCTTCACCATCATCTTCAAGTCCACTAAATTGGTAATCAATATGCTGTTCCTCTGTAACCATTCTGACATGAGGTTCAACTGCCTCGAGGCATTTTAGACCCTTCCGAAAAAAATTTAGCTGCATGATGGGTAAATAGGCACAGAGTGTGTTGTCAGCAAGCATTGATCCATCAGAGTAAAACAACGTCATGAGAGTAAAATCTGAAGAGTTTAGAAAGATCTCCATCAAACCTGAGCAGCATGGTGACGGGCTGCCTGAGTTAGAAGACTTCGAGACTGCCCTTGCTTCAACGATTTTAAGCGAAAAACATATAGAGTTGCCTCCTCTCCATATTCATCATGCGCTCTTTGTATTTGCTGCAAACTGAAACTTTCGACTTTCCCACTCTTCGACTTTCCTTTTTCTCTCTGTTGCGTCATCATAAATTCGCATACATCTCTGAAGACCCACACAACATTTCAGAATAAAATTGTATCAGAGAATAGAACTTAGTACAGAAAATATGAGGACCTTTTCTCGTCGCATTGTCTCTTCATCTCCTGCGAAAGCAAATAAGAGATGTTACAGTTAACACTAAAGGCTAAAATGTTTCAATAATATGGCCTGGTAATCAACCTATCATAAAAATGAATAAAACCCTCAGAGCAAGATCAAAGGTAAACCACTGACAGTTCACTGCAAAGCTATGCACAAATGAAGCCAACATAGCCATAACTAACAACTCTTCCCCTCATTCTTCCAAATTTCAACGAGCATTTTAAAGGTTTACACGCAATATAAAACCAATGAATTTCCAAGAGCAGGATGGAACAAGGACCTAACTGCCAAGCACCTATATGCAACGGTTTGACAGCTTAAGCATAAACGAACAGACACCACTCCGGGGTATGAAGTAAGGCATCAATATGGTAGGAAACAATTTCTCAAGTGAACTATCGACAAATAAATCCACTTAATAAGGTCTGAAGTGTATGAGGGAGCGCCCAAAAGAATCATTCCATTGCAGGAACCAGAAAATGCACATTTGAAGAGCAATAAAAAGATTGATCAGAAGACAAATTTATTTTTTGGTCGAAAGAGGACGACTGGCTAACATGAATTAAAACAAATGTTGAAGAAAATAAGGACAACAATTGTAATCTGCCATAACTATCCAAGCTGCATTAATAAAAGTACGAAGATTAACGGAGAATTAAAACAAATGTTGAAGAAAATAAGGACAGCGATTGTAATCTGCCATAACTATCCAAGCTGCATTAATATAAGTACAAAGATTAACAGAGAACACTAAATAACCAAAAAAAAACAAGGACGTGAAGATAGAAGAAGACTAATCATAAATTAATGGACAAGGGTAAAAATACGAACCTCAACAGTCCGAAGTTCATTGAAAAGAGATTCTGATGGACTTATAATTGTCATGTATATATGAGAACGCTGGTAGAAACAAAATATATAGTCACTTCCAGGCTGAGGTAAGAGATTGCTCAATATATATCTCCTAAAGAAGTCTGCTTACATAGCTGTCGATAAGTTTTTGAAGTTCAAATTGGACTTGTCCCAGCATTGACAGAACTCTACCTGCAAATGATTGCTCAGCAGTCATAAAAGAATCTATCACATTCAGAAGAATTCAGACTTAAGTAAAACGATTTCCACTCTTTGGACACTTATGAACAATAACTAACGTGCTTTTTTGGAAACATACAAGATAATTTTGCATATTCATTTTCTGGTAATGAGTGAATTCATGCATTTGCCTCATTTTCAATATCACTGTGCATTTGCCTCATTGTTACTTTGTAAAGTTAAATTAACAAGAGCTTAAGGACACACGAGGACTAAAAAAAGAAATTGCAGATGTTGCATAAACTTTTTCACTCACCAGTCTCTCCATCACCATGTGAAGTTTTCTCCAAGAGACAAGTACCCATTTCCCGCAGCGATTCCGAGAACTCTGGAATCATAGATTAATTTAAGCAGGGTTCTATTAAGAGCATTTCAGAAAGACAAATAGTCTACCGCAGTAACACGGTTCATACATCATTGTGATCTACAAAAAGAGATTAAACATGCTTCTTCATTCATTCTGTTTAAGCCTAGTGAAAGCAATTAAAATAGCAGCTTTTCTTACTATTTAGCAGGAATAAACATCGTGTAAGAATGCAATTCATGCTATGTAAGAATGCAATTCATGCTAAGAGTTCCAGGATAGGCAGTCTGACATAAATTAATCATGAGGGACCGGAGCTATATGATTAGGAAGGCATCACTGGCAAGTATTATCGTTGGAAGAAGATTTCCCTCAGCTAGCATGTCATTATTGGCAGATAATGAAAATATTTCGACAAACCCATGTGGGATCCAAAATGATAGCTAGATGTATCCATCTTCTAGGTCCACATTTAAATATACTGGACAATCTAACTGGACATCCAAACGCTCAATAGTATCTGAATTAACTGCACTTTGGATTTACATTGAGCATTGCCACAAAATATGGACTTCAAGAACTATAATGCCTAAGATGCAAACAGCTGCTCGAGTTTAGAAGAAGACATCTGGAAAAAAAAAGAAACTAATTCTACCATATGCGCTGTTTGCTGTTGCAGCAGCAGCCGAGATCAAGCTATCGTAACAATTTCTCATCGCTTGCATGTCCTACAAGGTGAAGGCAAGAAAAACCAGAATATGATAAATAAGATGAGTTCCAAAAGTTGTAATGGTATAACATACTACAAGTCCGCAAGTAACTATGTTGCATCTCATGCAACTTCTCAAATCAGATACAACATATGCCCAAACATATCCCCATCCCACCATGAAGACGCTATAGCCTTCAAGACAAACAAAGCAAGATACGAAGCTCAGGCCACGTTGTGTACCGAGGGAATTAATCCGAATCAATTTCATATAAGAGATCTTCCAAACAATTAAACTCCGTCAGCAAATGTATTGTGAGAGAAGAGGCAAAATACGAACCTTAACAAGTACATGCAGCATTCTCCCAACTTCAATTGTAAGAAACAGTTATATGGTCCAAACTCAATTATGACACAGTGCCGAACCTCAATATTTTCGTGACTGAGCAGTTAAGAAGAACGGCGCTGCTATTATTTATACAAAAGGAGGAAGAGGACAAGGACTTAAGGGTGGCGGACTCTAGCAATTCTTGGGTATTTCGGCTTTGAGTACAGTGCAACAGTTCCTTAAAAACATAAACAAGTCTTAATCAGAAGCTACACTGTGCACTAAAAAGCATCCAAGCCAAGAGCATTTCTCCAATATTTCTAAGCTTCTGTACAAACGGCTTTCTCCAAATAAAAATGATACGTCACCTGAAAGATACCAAAAGATGAATATCATCTGAACATCATATCACAAGCTAGACACAAAGAAAAAAATCTTGCCTCGTCCCATCCAATTAGTGTTTACACCATTCCACTGCCAAACCCTTCCACGGCCACTTCTTACCTTGAAACCAGCCTTAAGAAATGGATCCAAGGACGTAGTGACACCATATCAAAGTCTCCAAAGCTACATATATCTTGTATGTGAAACAATGTGGAGAGATCTATGAAAGCCAATTACTTCATTCTGACAATTTGCGAGGACCTCCAGCTTCAGTAAACACTTATCATCGAATTCCACTGTCCAGAAAAAGAAGGGGCTACATTTACATCGTCAACTTTCCCTGTAGTAATCCGTACTCAGTCCTAGGCCTTCATCAACGATGCCACCAACTTGAACAATCTCAATTTACCCCATCAATTCTCTTCAAAGTATAAATTTTTACTAATTATAGAGTTACGTCACTGAGAATGGCGCAAAAACTGTCCAATTACGATCAACTTCTCGCGCCATTATTCTTTCAGAGAGAGAGAGAGGGCGGGGGGCATGTGCCTCTAAACTTCCATTAAATCATCTTTGAGAAAATCAATTAAGAATTAAATCACACATCGCCATGTGCCCGCAAATCACCGATCGCATTCCAGAAATGGAAAGAAAAGCCGGAAAAAAGTTACCTTCGACGCCTGGGCGAGCTCGTCGAGCTGAGCCGAAGGCGGAAACTCCAGCTTCTCCTTCTGATCGTTCTTGTGGAGCGCCGCGAATCTCCGAAGCTTCCCAAAAGAAGACTTCATTTGCCAACGAAACCCTAGCCCCGACGAAGCTGCCGGCGCCCCCCACCCCCCCAAAAGAAGGAAAAAAAAAAATCCCAAAAGGTCTCCGACAGAGAGAGATTCCGACCCGCGCTCAAAAGCCTCTCTCGAGCTCCACCTGGTGAAATCCTCGGGAGCCCGCAGCGACGACGACGACGACAACCGGAAGAAGGAAAAACAAAATCCGATGCCTGAACCTGGGAATCCGACAATCGAGCGAGGAAGATCACGGCGGCGCAACCGTCGACATTGAAGCGAGAGAGCTCGTCGCTGTTGCTCTGGTTGTGCAGTCAGAAAGGGAGGAGAGAGAGAGAGAGAGAGAGAGAGAGAGAGAGGGAGGGAGGGAGGGGAAGATTGACGAGAAAAACGGGAAGAGCGAGGAAAAAATTAACACCGGGGTGGGGGGGGGGGGGGGGGAGCGAAGGTGGGGGATAATTCTAACGTCACTGGCGAGTGTGAGAAGGAGCCCTCTCGCGAGCCGACACGTGTCCAGGCAGCAGGGGGGGGGGCAGCGGCGTAAATCCGCGGGATTTGTTGTTTGTTTTTTTTGGGGTGGTGGGGAACGCCGTGATTCGATGGACGACGGCGTAAAGGGAAGTCTACGGTGACGGTGGATGGAGAGAGAGAGAGATTTCGGGGGGGTGGGGGGAGAGAGTACCGGTCAAAGTACGTAGAGAGAGAGAGAGGGGGGGGGGGGGGGATGGATAAGCGGGTCAAAGTCATATAAATTTTGCAAGCAAAGGGCGGGTTTGATTGGAGGGTGTGGGGATGGGGAAAGACATTTAAGTACGAAAGAGAAGACCGCTTTTTGATTTTGACCGGATTTTAATGCCCACCTGGGGTGGAGAGAGATGGGATGGGTTGAAAAAGTAGATTTTTTTGCTTTTGCTTAATTTAGGTGGCGTGCCCAACTCGACTCCCCATTCCTTCCCGTATCTTGTGATGAGCAGGGGTTTATCGAGAACCGAATCAAATCACCTGAGAAATAAGTCTGGAAATCGGTTCCTATTTAAATCGATCTGGTTTTCAGACCGGTTTTATTTTTTGGGAACCAATTGAAATTGATCCGATTTCTAGTTTCAAGTGAAGACCAACCTGGAAACCAGACCGACCAGATCGGTTTTCAAACTAGTTTTTAGCTTGTGATAAGAATTATTATATTTTTGATTGTTGCTTTTAGTAAATAGTAATTTCTATTGTTCACATTAGAGATTAATGCTTTTGGCGGATAATAATTTTTATTATTCATCTTTTACTTCGAATCGTTTCATTGTTACTCATATTATTTTGCTGGAAAAAATGAAACAAGGAAAAGGAATAAAAGAAAAATAGGTTTTCGGATAGACCTTAGAACCAGATCGAAAAAAATGGTATGTTTCAAAACAGGTTCCATAGCAAACAGGGTAGGTTCCAGGTTTTAAAAACTGGAAGTCGGTTATAACCGAGTAGGTTCCAAACCTGGAACCTGCCTACCTTTGAACCAATCACTCCGATGAGTTATAAAATGCCATGAACATTTTAAGGTTCTTTTCTGTTTTCTTTTCGATCAATCGCTTTTTTTTTCGGACATTGGCCTTCCCCGTTACCCCAAGAAATTTGCTGTTTCCTGCTGTGAATCCACACAAAGTTCTTCCCACTTCATCCATGCGAAAACCATTGAACCATCCTTTTTGGGGAAAGAGAGATTTATCGAAAATTAGGGAGCCGAAAGTCGCTCGTTCGATGTGTAGATCCACATGAACAGAGCAGAGCACGGCACGATTGGGGAGGCAATCTTGACATTTTTCTTGAACTTTGTTTTTTGTAATTAAGTCCTTAAATTATGTATATGTTTTTTTTTTTCAAGTTGATCCTTCCATCAAAATTACAGATGAAAATACTAACGCAACCGTTAAATACCGACATGGCATGTCACGTGATATTTAAAAAATAAAAATATATAATTCAGAAATGAATATCAAAAGGTCAAATAAATACTAAGAGTTTATGAAGAAATGAGATTTATATAATAATAATAAAAAGACCGAAAAAGGGTGACGCGTTATCAAGGGTCGGCCTGATGCCAACGGATAGTGACCGAGGTCACGCGACCCTATGATCAAGTGGCAGGGATTGCTAGAGCCCAAGCTAGATCTGGCCTAGGCTGATCGTCGCCTGGGGTCAAGTGACGTAGGCGATGCGATGGAGGGGGCGTCATGACCCCGGCCAAGCGACAACTGACAAGGGCTAATCAGCTCTCACTAACATATGGACAGTCCACGTCGGCATTTTCGTTTATATTGTAAATATTAACTCAAACAAACAAGCATATATTTTAAGGACCCAATTGTACGAAAATAAATCTATTGCTTAACCGAACAATTTGAAAAAGCTTACGATCGTGCCTAAGTGCGTCCTTTCATTTTGTAAGAGAATGATACAAGATATATTAATTTGTTTCAACTCTCCTCGACACATGAAAAGGTTGTGATAGAATTGTCGAAGACCTAGAAGAACAACCGGAGGGAATCTAAATTTGGGCAAGGGAGGAGCACGATAAATCAATTAGCAAACTCTAGTTTTCTCGCTCCGATACCATGCTGAAATTGATCATTTTGGGAAAGGTACGAATTGCCAACCGAGCTTAAAATTCGAAACGTTAAATCAAACAAATTCTCACTCGAGTATCAAAGATAGAGGTTTGGACTTTGGAGTTCAATTCTTACACTCATCTTTCACCAATTTGTGGGTTGTCATTGTATATAATTCCGATGGGTTGCACCAATCGCACTGCTAGCAGATATCACAAATTTCGCAGATTGGGGTATTAGGATGCCAGTGTAAAATCACATCATGCCTTAAATTTTCCAGGAAACAGGAGTGTAGATTCAACTTTAACAGCTTCTTAAACAAACAGTCGCATGTTCAATTTCAATAGGATATTAAAGTTAAGTGTCTTGACTTTGATTTTTCCCGATCATCTTCGCCAATTAACGAGTTTCCCTTTTAGTCACTTGTCCTCGGATTCTACGGTGTTCTCCATCGTGTTAAAGATCAAACGATGGCCCACTCTGCTTTTGATAGCTCCTTGTGCAAGTTTTGCTGTCGCTTTGTACATCCTAAGTAATTGAAAAGGGCGAAGGTCGTCCGCTTCGGTTGACCTCGAGAAAGTGCAAAAACAGTCGATCATTTGAACATCCCGAAACCAGTCATTCTCTTCCTTCCCTTAAAATCGACTCCTCGAATTGAACGCGACACCTGTCGGACGTTAAAACAGGTAATGATACATGTTTAAAGCTACAATGGTCAAGTGCACTCAAATTTCATCATAGCCTTGTTTCAGGAAAATCACTCCAACTGTTCTAAATCTATTATGCGAATATCAATTAATCGGAAGGACTGTGTTGGAATTTCGCGAAAAAATCCCGAACTAAATTGGCAAATCCAAAATGTTTAGGACCGAATTAACATACGTACAGTAAGTTTAGGACTGATTGGATGATTTTACCGTAGTGCTTCGATACCAACAAATTTGGCCCGATTAAACAATTAAAGATCGGTATAGACACTCCGAATCTCGCCATGATCTCATGATGCGACCGTACCATACGAGGGCTTCACTTTTTTTCAGGGCATTTTTACTAAACATATAGCCGGTCAAGGTTAGAATTTCGCAAGCGATAAAGAAAGGGGGAGATTTCTAAAACCATATGTGATAAAAAAAAAAAGGGAAATTGCTATCTTAGTTTGAACGCTGGGAATGCGAGTCCAACAGCCGAATTTCAACAACCTTTTGAACGAACTGAGCTAACCTAACAAGCAAGCGAGTAGAGAGAACAAGATTTTCCTGACTTTGAATGAAATTTTTGAGCGGCCTGATTAATAGAGGGGAGATCCATAGTTCAACAAACATAGACGATTCGCCGATCGAAATCGGTTTGTTAAACTAAGTGGGTACGCCCGTATTGCTAGAATCTATCGATTTGAGCGATCAGATATTTAATTCGAACGTTTATATCCGATAATCTAATTGTAGCGTCTCTCACACAAAACAACTCCGAATAGCACACACATCACCTTAGAACGGAAATCTTGCCCGATGTGCACCAACCAAAAAGTTTGGCGTGACATTTCGTTCGCGGATGGTTCGAATTCCTATCGTTCCAAGCCCAAAAAAAGAAGTTATCATTCACGCCAAAAAGACGTCCTTTTCCTATTCTTGAGAGATGCCGACGACCAAAAGTGGGAAAGGAATTCAAAGTCCAAAAGGAGACGCAAGCAAGCAAAAGGGAGTCGTAGCTTACAACATACGTGATCTTCCCCCGAACGAATCTTGATTTTCTACCAAAGCCATCCGTAGACTGCGACGGAGCACCGTCGCTCATTAGAAATGCAAGGTCAAAAAAAGGGTGAACAACGGAAATCTTCACTTCTAGACCAAAGAAAAGAAAAAAGATCTTCGCTTAGGTCAGATTTTTCAAAATTATCCTGTACTTTGATTTTCCAACGAAAATGGTGCGGGACCTTTTATTCTACCCATCACAGATGGAAAAGTCGCTTCTCGGGGGCTGTATTGATGAATAAAGATATATTGGATTAAGTCGTATTACAAAAAAAATACGTGGTGGATAGAGCCAATCACGGTGCGAAAAGTACATGGAGCAGAGTATATGGATCCGATTGTTCTTTTGACGATGGATGGCCTCCTCCCTCCTCAAGGTTATAGCACGGGTGGGGCGGCAGAAAATTTCCAACTAAGTAAGCGGAATTCATCCGTTCAAATTTCGCAAACTGCGCGCAAACTGTTTCTGAGCCAAGGACACTTTGTGCATGCTAAACGCCTGTGCTTTACCAGTTCATTAGACTCGCTTGGCATTCCATGGTCATTCAAAGTGATTAGACCTCCGGTCCGTGAAACCCGCTTATCGGCAAAATCCGGTCGTAAAAGCTTTTTTTTTTGTGCGAATAGAGAATATGGAATAAAGCCCGATGGATCTATCTCGACCGTTGAATCTATTCCACTAAAATTAAAGTGGAAATCGTTTCTAAGGACAAGAATCAATGCCTCCCACTCCTTTGGAAATGCCCTCTAAGATAGGACAAAAGTTGTATGCGCAAAACTTAGCTTTGCAACGCGATCTTCAACCTAAGCTGAAGGCTCGGATGTTTATTTTACCATAGCGGCGATGGAGACCGAAAACGAGAGGGACCGTATTGTCGTTTCAATGGGAAGACTGTTTCTGGTCAAAGGGGTCTGGTTTTCTTCTTCAAGGTGGATGGCAACAGAGAGCTTCCCATGAAACGAAACGAAATAGTAGCAGCAGAACCGCCAATTTTCAAAGCCGCCATTGGAGAACGGAATGGACAGTCTGAGTTTGTTGGGAGAATTATGACAATCCAAATAATATCGGATTAGAGCGGCGGAAGAAAACAATCTCCCCTCTTGTGGCGATTTTTTACTTACCTCCTTGGTGCGAGGAGATAAAAAACCACGGGATTGGAGTACACCAAAAATATTCACTAGCAATAAAATTGGGTGAACAAAGTTCTTCTCGAGAACACCATTATTGGCAATATACATGAACTTTACAAGAGATCAATGATAAATCTCACAAAAATCACAGGTTCGGTGTAACCCACGAAAAACCTGATGCATGGGGCTTTAAGTGAAAATCAAATCGATCAAATTCGAGAAGAATGTGTCATGAGCATACTGACAAAATTTCAGGTTAATCGGATCACGAATCGACCTATGATATCAGCTTGATGAAAATCAAATGTTGTCCTCCTTCCCAGATTTTCTTATGTCTCTTTTTCTCTTGCTGTAGCGTCTCAACCAACATTCTTTTGCGGCTGCCACATAATAATAATGAGAAACCCTATTACTCGATATGAATTGTCATATGTGCTCAAGCCTCGGGGCTTATAATGCATTGGGGATAACGATAAAAATAGTCAATGAACTTTGGCCCAATATGTAATGTGATCTTTGAACTTTTAATTTATTCAATATGGTCATTGAACTTTTGGTACATGTTCAATTTAGTCCTTAAACTATATGAAAATATTCAATATAGTCACTACTCTTAAATTGAAGGACTACATTGAATATTTACCAAAAGTTCAGGGGTGACATTAAACAAATTAAAAGTTCAGAAATCACATTGCACATAGGGTTAAAGTTCAGGAACCACGCTGAACAAATTAAAATTTCAGGAACCACATTGCACATTTGACCAAAATTCAGGGATTGTTTATGTTATTTTCCCTTCTCGGACTTCTTTCACATGGGAGTGAACCTAGCCAATAGAGTTGGGTACGTGACCAAGTACTAGGGGTGTCAAAAGAACCCGGCCAAACACGATCCGCCCTGAAAATTTTTGTATTGGGTCGGGTTGGACCTCAACTTGTTTAGGTAACAGAAAAAATAATTGGGCTCGGGCACCTGAGGCCAACCAAAACAACTAACAAGGAAACACTATCTTCTTCTTGTTCACACCCGAGCCCAATCGAAACAACATGCTGAGGTTCATTCTTGCGGACGTTCATCGAAACCTTATCTTCTTCTTCATTCTTCCATCGGCGATAAACAACAAGCTGAGGTTGCAGAGCGTCTTGACGAAAAGTGTGTGTCCGCGTGCACACTGTGTGAAAAGTGTAAGCGTCTTCCTTCCTTCCTTCCTTCCCTTGATCGATTCGTTCGCGCTCTTGCAAAGAGATCGCGGTTGCAAAGCGTGATCTCGATCGCGTACTGTGGATTTCACCTGCGATGGGTTTCATGTGTTGGTTGTCTGATTGGGTGTCTGAATTTGATTCAGGTGAGATGAAGCTGTCGAAGGTGATGAGTGGAAGAACGAAGCCAGCAACACCCCCGAAGGCGGTGGTCGCAAGATCAACGAGAACAAGCTCCTCTCCAAGAAGTCGAGGTTACTCTCTCTCTCTCTCTCTCTCTCTCTCTCTCTCTCTCTCTCTCTCTCTCTCTCTCTCTCTCTCTCTCTCTCTCTCTCTCTCTCTCTGTGGAAGCATTGGACTAGGTTGTGGTCGTAGAATGATGGGTCTAACCTTACCTGCCTCGATTCAGTAATTATGAAGCATTGGACTAGGGTGCGAGTCTTGATCAAGATTTGCTTGTGCACGACTTGCATTTTTTTGTGGGAACTATGGTGTATGACTTTGATGTCGGTTTGTTGTGGTGGGTCAATTTGTTGTAGGTTAAATCAGCTTTCAAGAAGAAGGTGTGGGAGTCACACCCCGATCGCTTCCCAGTTAAAGAAAAGCCGATTGCAGAATCTAAGTTCAAGCTGGTAATTGCTATGGCTCCTGAAATGTGAAAGCTTTTATATGTGTTTTCTTCTTTATTTCTTCTATGTTCAATCTTCAGTTGGCTGCATTTTGGTGATATATCTTGGAATTGAGTTACTGGTATCTTTTGGTAAATGTTCGATATGGTCCATGAACTTTTGGTACATGTTCAATTTAGTACATAAACTATATGAAAATGTTCAATATAGTCATTGCTCTTAAATTGAAGGACTACATTGAACATTTACCAAAAGTTCAGGGGTGACATTAAACAAATTAAAAGTTCAAATATCACACTGCACATTAGATTAAAGTTCAGAAACCACGCTGAACAAATTAAAAATTCAGGGACTACATTACACATTGAACTAAAATTTAGAAATTGTTTGTGTCATTTTTCCTTCATCCGACTTTCTTTACATGGGAGTGAACCCAGCCAAGAGAGTTGGGTGCGCGACCAAGTACGGATGCAAGTATAAAAAAAGGGGATAAAATTGAAAAAAGAAAACTTATTGGGCTCGCAATGCATGCATAAATAAAGATGACCGAATCAAGCCCACGTCGCCAACTCGAGATGTGTTAAAAGCCCAAATAAACAACTGACTGAAAAAGGCAGTAATATATGACGTCAAGGATTTTTCCAGAGGCAGCCCACAAGAAAGAAAGAAAGAGAAAATTACTTTACAGTTTGAAATAAACCGAGGCAAAAGAAGAAGAAGAAGAAGAAGGAGCCCTCGAGTAGATATTGCAAGCCCGCCCCTTGATAACGGGTGATCTTCGATTTCTCCCCCCTAGTTTTTCCCCTTTTTTGCAGTTTTTTTCCCCGCGGAAAATCACGCGGTTTTGCTAAACGATCTACGGGGGCTACAAGAAGAGACGTGCAGTAGGCTTCTCATCCCCCCCGCCGCGCACTGCCTGGGTACCCTGAATCGTCTTCTTCTCCTCGACTTTTTTGGTACCTGCCATTCATAAGGACCCTTCATTTTATTGAAACAAAATTAAAATGAGAGTAATAATCGGATTTAAGGGTGTTTAGTCCCCGATCCGGTCCGATCCTACTCAGGAACCGGGAAATCAGACCGGAAGGATCGGTTCCTAGTTTCCAGAATCGGGAACTGGACCGAAGGTCCCTGGAACGGTCCAATCTGATCCGAGTGATTCCCGATTTGATCGGTCCGTCTTACTCACCTCTAATTGGACTAACGTATAAAATTCGTGTACACCTGTTAGATTGGGCGGTGAGTAAGCTGGGCCGACACTTATCTTTAATTATGTGTCTATCATCACATAGCCCAATAACCTTATCAAATATTGAAATATCGGCCTACGTTCCTATATGTAATTTTCAAACGGTAGATAAAGTCGAGGTGTAAACATCTTCAAATGGTAGATGATATGAAAGTTACATATATAATTCGTAAACTTCATGAAAGATTTTATCTAAAGTTAAACTTGGTGAAAATAATTGAATTTAACGTTTTGATTTGTTCAAAACAATTAATACACGGAGAATCTAGCTATACTCAAACTCTTCTTTTCTAAATTTTCCATTATATATCTATTTTATTTAATTTTTGTTTAAACTTTCAAGCCGCAATTTGTATATCTTTTATTCGACGAATGGTTTGACTCGGTAATTTCTACGCTTAATGGATGACTACCCCAAGTATTATACATTTCTAAACATTATCTACATCATTTAGGAAAGTGATGTAAAGTACGTTTATTGATGTATGTTCGCGTAAATTGCAACCAAGTAACTAGTTCAATAAGGTACGATAGTCCGATATTTCAACATCAAATTAAAAGTGAAGTACATTTACATAAGAATGTTAATAGTAGGGTGGCAGGTTTTACCTCAACAGAATCCGAAGTCGACATGTTTGCCTTTTCCGTTTCATTATCCGCCTTTGCCGTATCACTTTTCCCTGTTGATTGCGTAAAGAAGTTGGATCGAAAATTTCACGTATGATGTTCAATAGTCAAACAAAAGCATAAACGTCGCTGTATAAATACTTTCTAATAAGTTAGCTTTCGCATTTCTTTTACATTGTTCATAAAAAAAATCACGGGAGCGAATTGTAGAAGAGATATATCACTGCCACGATACGTGAATTTATCGATCGGCGAATACCATTCATGATTTTTACGAGCATAAAAATCAAAGTCTGACATTTTTGGGTAGACTTTCAATTATTGCTTTACAGTTAAGAACGGGTATAGTTTGGCTTTTGAACCCTAAACACCTGAAATTTTCACAACATAAAAATATTGATAGGAACTAATTTTTTTTTTATGGTTTTAAGATTAAAATGGATAGAAACATAAAGAAAGAGAGAAGTTATCAAATTTTCACCAGGCAATCTCGAGGAAAGAAGAAGAGGAAAAGAAAAACCTCACCGTCGGCGTCCTTGGTGGTGCTATCGTCCTCAGCGTCCCCCGACTCGTCGAAGCACAGGACACAATACTCCCTAAAGCTCGGCGACCCTGGGTACAGCAGTATGCTGTCTTCCCTGTCGGATATTCCTCCGGCATCCTCCTCGTCTTCGTCTTTGTCTTCCCCTTTACGGTCGACTCCGCTCCCTCTCTCCTTCTCAGCCATCACCACTTCCTTCACCACCTCCTCCACCGCCCCCTCGCCGCCGCCCTGGCCCTTGCCACCTTCCCCTACCTCTCTCACCACCTTGATCACCTCTTCGCTGCCGTCTTCGCTGCTGCATTCCTTCGCCTCCATCACCTGCACCGGCGGTTCATTCATGCGCGTCGGCGGCGGGAGGAGGGCGGGGGCGGCGGCGTCGTTCTGGAGGGGACAAGGGGACGAGACGCTCTTGCGGCCGCCGCCGCCATCCAATTTGTGGTTACTGCCGAGAGAGGAGGAGTCGGCGTCGGCATCATCGGGGTCGACGTAGAGGAGCTGCTTGCTGGAGGCGGTGCCGCCGTCACCAAGGGAGGCGCCGGCGGTCGCCGAGGCCCGGTCGCCCCGGCGGCGGAAGGCGAAGTCCTCGATGCGGCGGTGGAGGGGGTTGATGTAGAGATAGGTCGGCCCGGAGGCGGCGTCTTCTCTATTGAACCTGGATACGCCACAACCCATGGTGGAGGCGGGAGGGAGGGAGGGTGAGAGCTGTGAACATGCAGAGAGAGAGAGAGAGAGAGAGAGAGAGGGAATGTGGCTATGCGAGAAAGGTTGAGACAGAGAAGGTGGTGGTGATAAGAGGAGGTCCAACGGGGGTTTCGGGGATCAGGGGAGGAGACACAGGCGAGCCCAGGGGGAAATTGCTAAGGTGGGATTTTTTTACATGTCAAATTGTTTGTCCTTTTCAAACAGTTCGGGGAAAATTGCTAGATATAGTAAAAAGAAATGATAATGCCATATTGTTTGCCAACTATATAGAATCGGATTAAGGTGGCAAACATGTCAAGATGTGCTCTAATCGAAACTTGTCTGTTATCGCGCCGTGCTTGAAGAAAAACCTTGTAAATAAAACGATCGTGTTTTGCTGAAAGTGGTCTAAAGTGAACCACAGGCCCGCTGCAATATCTTCCATTTTGGACCCCGAGCTTTCTTCACTTGAAGGCCCCTTCAGCACAAGCTTATATCAGTCTCGAGTTACCAAATCTTTCTTTCACCAGCCGAAGCTGACATGGCGGCGGCGGCGGCGGCTGCTTGATCAATTAGGACCCCAAATCTTTGACTTAGGTGATTGAAGTCGGACAGGCAAATCAGGTCTCGGAAGTTCAACCGGAGAATGATTCCACTGTCCTTGGGTCTCTTCTGGAACACCCGGCACACTGGCCGTTGATCTCGTTCCATCCGATCCTCCTGCAAATTCAGCTGGATGGGCAAAAGGACTTAGCCCACTGGATCCGTATCCCTGCAAGAAGTTCTCTGTGACGAGCCAATTAACATGGTGTACTGATCATGTACTTGGTTCTGAGGCCGGAACTCATGCACGATCCATTCAGGTCGAGCTTGAGCAACATCGGTCAAGCCGCCTCCTCCTCCTCCTCCTCCTCCTCCTCCCTTTCACCAAAAAGGAGGCTGTTCATGATTGCCATTCATGTAAGTGTAAATATTTGCTTCTCTGTACCAGTTATTGCTTCCAGCAACCAGAAGCACCGAAAGACATGAATAACTAGTTTGAGAATCCGACCTCTTTACGCTGACATGGCATTTTAAAATAGCTTTTGGAGAGGCACGGGCTGACGTGGCGCCACATCACCAAAAAGCTTGACCAAGAAAAAAGAAAAAGGCTGAAATCTTAAAAGAAAGAAAAAAGGAAATAGGTAAAGACTTTAAAAACGGCAAATTGAGTACGCTATTGAAGCTTGACGATAAGATGAAAAGAAAAGAGGAGTAGATTCACCAACCAAAGTTCCTAATTCGAAGACTCGAACCCAGAGCACGTGATTTGAGTGTAAAATCAACAATTTTCCTAGCTCATTAACATCTCTGCAAGAAAGGTTTCTTAACGTTTTAGGACTCGATTATATATTTGCGACGTTTTATGGTGTACCTATCCGTTATAATTATATATAGATTTAAATTACATTCACTATATACGAATCAAGAATTCTGAGAGGAACCCGAGATAACATAAAACACCATGTTCATGATACCTGGCAAGTTCCACGGCTCGGTTCCGAACACATCGAACTCGGGGACCAAAGGTGGCGGCAACGGGTGGCCATCAATCTTGCGCCTCAAGAAGTGGCCGACAAGCTCTTTGTCGCCAAGCTTGAACCAGTATCCGACCGGCAATTGGGACACAGGCCACCGCGGACAATATATCGGAGGAGGATGCGATTCCGGGATCTCTGAGCTCAAGCTTGCCGTGCCGTCCAATACATTGTCTTCCACGTTCCTTCTTGTCGTGCGGACATTACGAAAGTTGTTCACAAACTGTGGGAAAGAATCAATGAATAAAGAACAGCTCTTCACAAGAGCCTGTTCATGTACGGGCGAAGGCGTTTATATGGAAGCAAAGCACGAACTGTTCCTCGACGGGTTCGGTGAAAATCGTTATCATCTCACTTGTTTTGTCCGAATTTTGGTAAGGAGTAGGACTGGACCCCGATCTTTCGGCAAAAATTTAGGGTGGATTTGAACCTCCCTTTTGGAATTGTCAGATCGTCACCGTTGATTTTTAAGACCACGGGGTCGCGACTTTTTTCAAGAAAAAGAAGATTGTCCCGAATCTAAATAAAGAAAAGGAATAGATTAATTATAAAGCTAATCGAAAAGAATATTTTCCCCCTTTTTTCAAATTTAACAAGATAAAGTATACCAAAGTAGATGAAATTTTTTTTTTTGAGGAATTAATTAACGTGGGGAGGAATTCTTTAAATCTTTTACCGTAAAAGAAAGGGATTCTTGAAATTATTTATGCCAAATACATGTGCGGAACAAATACTGAAAAGAAAGGTGGGAAGGAGGAAAGAATGTTTTTTCTTGGACACCAAGACCAAAGCCATGGAATCAAGTCAACCATATTTATCATGTAGCCAATGAGTTTCTATCTATCGTTTGTCATTCGAACATTTTTATCTTCTACCAATGAAAGTTTAAATTTGAAAAAAATGCATAAAGAGGATACATTTGGATCGATATATGTTGCTTTGATTGCAACTGATGTTGAAATTACCCATTTAATTAAAATTAAAGTGAAATGTAAATACATCTCGTGATTTGAACAATTTAAACACTTCATCTCTTATAAATAGTGAAATTATAGCTCAAATAAGGTTTCTATTTGTATTCACCATTGCCTTGATATTTACCAAATCTTTCACCAGCACCGAAGCTACACGGTTGCAGCGGGGGTGGCTTGATGAATGCACGAGCAATTCGAGTGAATTTGAGTTAATATGAGCTTAGATCGGATATAGGTTTTTCAACTTGTATTATATGGATCGATATGAATTACTCCATGAATCTTGTCCAAAATTATAAGCTGATTACCCAAATCCAACTTCAGCCCGCTCGAGCGCTCCACCCATTTAGTTGCCTCTACTCTTCGAGGCTCGAAGATGGACATTCAAATATTAGTCGATGTGACGAGATTTCCGATACTGAAATCCAACCTCTAAGGTGAATCAAAAGGACAAGAACCCCTATCTAAAACTTATTATTAATCGATAAGAAATGTCCTACTGGATCTCCTGACCATCTTCCCGCTGAAACTACTACTTGCTGTAAAGCCATAACGGACTAGCAAACATGAAAAGGCATATTCGAACTCGGCACGGTCACGAGTCAACCACAAACGGAGACTCTTCAAACGTTTTTTTCTCTGACTTCGGTAATTCAACTCGAACCCCGTGAATACGGTCCGGTCGAACCGCGGTTGAGATGGTCTTGCAAGCTCGACCGGTGATAGATGACACTGCCCTGGGGTATCTTGGGTTTCTTCTGAAACACCCGGTACGCTGCCCATTGATCTCTTTCGGTTTGGTTCTCCTGCAAATTCAATTGGACGGGCAAAAGAAAAGCTTCAATAAAATTTGGACACGCATCAGGAAAAAATTATCGACTGGGCCGCTCCACATGAACAGGGGCAATCACGATCACAGTCATTGCTCGCGCGAGTCTCGTGTGAGCCCCACTTATGAATCTTCGATGAGATCGCACCCGGGTCATGGACAAAAGGATTCCCGCTTCCTCAATCCGAAAAGAAGGGGAGTAGTCTTGTCTGGACCGGGTTTGCCGAACTGGCCATCCTTTCATGTAGGTGTCACGTGTGGGGCTCACGGGAACTCTCGCGAAATGAACGGCTGTGATGGGCTTGGCCCCGCTCGGTTCGATTCGTTGCGAGAAATTCTCTGTGGCGAGCCGAAAAACATGATGTCTAGAACGTGTACCTGGTATCGAGGCCGAAACTCATGCATGATCCATTTCGGTTGAGTTTGAGCAGCATCGGTTGAGCCTCCTCCTCCTTCATCTTCTGCTTCTTCTTCCTCTTGATCTTCTCCTCCTCCTCCTTCACAGAAAAGGAACCTGCTCTTGATTGCATTCAACGGGAGTGTAATGATCTGTTTCTCTGTACCAGTTAGCTTCCAGTAACCAGAAGCACCGACAACCCTTTTGCGTACCGCAGATGAATCTCCCGACATCGCTTCGTTCTTTATCCGGCAAAAGAAGTACCTTTCCTCCTCGACGTCGCCTGTGAATTCGCTCACCATTATTAACGAAAAAAGCACCAAAAGACATGATCCAATGGATTCAAGAAGACGAGAAGACAAAAAAAAATTAGTAATGTAAAGCTATAGTTTTCCGATCGCTTTATGCAAATATTAAGTGAACTTGGAAACTTTCTCCTGGAGTTAAAAATGGTAGCAACAAACTTAGGATAAAAAACAGGGGACCGGTTCATGCGAAAAAAGAATTAGAGTTTTGGGGAAAACAACGTGGTCTTGACCATGATTGCAAGCTTAATTTTGGAAAGAAAAGAAGTCTTCTCTCTTCTCCCCCTTCATCAGGTACCTGGGAAGTTCCACGGCTCGGTTCCGAACACGTTGAACTCAAGAATGAACGGCGGCAACGGGTGGCCATCAATCTTGCGCCTCAAGCTGTAGCTGACAAGGTCTTCGTCACTGGGCAGGAACCGGTACCCGATCGGCAATACGGACAGGGGCCACAGCCGGTCACCTTCTTGTCGCACCGCGGACATCGGAACATGTATAGGAGAAGCTTCTCACAAGCTTGAGGCAAAGGAAATAAAGAGACAGATCTTCACAAGCATTTCTTTGATGCAAAGGCGAAGGCGTTTATATAGGAAGCGACTACAAACCCGAGAGTCCGACGGGTCGGGTAGAATGCTTATCGCTTCCACTGGTTTGTCCGAAATCCGAGGATCCTAATCCGAGTTGGAGTAGGACTGATGATTAGCATAATTCTAGATTCTAGAAGTTCCGGAGCTCTCGGCAAAACTTTACTGTGGATTCGAACCTCCCCTTTTGGGATTGTGAAATCGTAACTGTTGATCTGAACTCGGATTGGCCATGGATGATGGAGGAATGAACGGTCACAACAATGTCCTGGCAACTTGACCAGGCTATTTTCATGAGCAGTCAGAACTTGATTCACAGCGCAAGTTAAGTGAAAGAACTGATCTCCCCACGAAAAAAAAGCATGAACAAACGACCCAAATGTCCAAGAACCATGGGACTAAAGGGGTTTTGGGAAGGTTAAGAAATTTTGACTTTTTTCTTTTGAGCCATCACTATAGAATTATCGCTCGAACAGTCATGTCCTACCAATGCAAATTTGAATTTGAAAAATGGGATAAAGAACAATACATTCCTAACTCAATTGGATTGGATATATCTTACTTTGAATGCAACTAAACGTTGAAATTATCCATTTGACAAAATTATAAGTAATATATATATATATATATATATATATATATATATATATATATATC